GAATTCAGAGGAGGGCCATGAAGGTGATCAGAGGGCTGGAGCATCTCCCTTAAGAGGACAGGCTGAGAGAGTTGGGGTTGTTCAGCTGGGAGAAGAGAAGGCTCTGGGGAGACCTTATAGTGGCCTTCCAGTATTTAAGGCGGGGCTACAGGAAAGGTGAAGAGGGACTCTTTATCAGGGGGTATAGAGATAGGACGCGGGGTGACAGTTTTAAACTGAAAGAGGGTCAATTTAGATTAGATGTAAGGAAGAAATCCTTCCTTGTGAGTGTGGTGAGACACTGGCACAGGGTGCCCAGAGAAGCTGTGGCTGCCCCCTCCCTGGCAGTGTCCAAGGCCAGGTTGGACGGGGCTTTGAGCAACCTGGTCTGGTGGAAGGTGTCCCTGCCCCTCTGGCAGGGGGGTTGGAACTAGATGTTCTTTAAGGTCCCTTCCAACCCAAACCATTCTATGATTCTATAATTCTATTTAAACAATGTGTTTCAATTAAGAGAGAGAAAAAAAGCAAAGCCCAAAATCATAGGAGGAAGAAAAATTTTAACTATTTCTGCTGGCATAGTACTGGCAAATACAGATATCTCACAATCATAATGGAGATTAGTAGAGCTGGGTGTGCATATTTGTTATGGATCAAAGATAGGATATAGTGATTAGAAGAATGACAATGCTTTCAACACTCACAAAAGGAATGAATGTGTGATTTATAATACTAATTCCACAAAACCTTTCTGTGGCTGCTTACTGCACGAGGGATTCAATGTGGATTGATCACCGAAAAAACCCCAAACCTATTTCCTTCAGCTCAGCTGGATCAAACCCTTGCAACTAACCAAAAAGCTTTTTAGTATTGACACTCTCTGATTTAAGACATTATTTTCCCCCACACGTTTACTCCACTCTTCTGCTACAGAAGTTGTAGTGTAACTAAGAAGTTTGTGTGCTACACTCCCAGTGACCGTACTTCACAGTTCAGTATTTTAGCTTATAATTAACTGATTTTTCTCTGAGTGTTTATGGCCATTTTATATATATTCATGGCAGAAATATTAGAACAAAGATGTTGATGCCCTGAAAGAGCAAACACTAGCCTGTAGCCTGAGGATGCATACCTCTGATTTCCTATTTACTAGCAGCCAGAAGCTCAAACTCAGTGATGAATCTGTCACTGGTTCTACTAGGGGACTTTGGAAAGTCATTAAAACTCTCTTTGTTCTAGCTCCTGGTCTCTAAAATGAGATAATGCTACTTGGGCATCACGGTGAAACTGTATTTGTAAAGAAGTTGTTATCCTTGCTAGAACTATTGCATTAGTGAATAGTTTTGAGCATTTGTACTGCCATTTTGAGACTAGACTAGTGCTTCGGCTGTAGCACACAGAAAGGGAAAGAGCAGGATCCCCAGCAGGGCGGGGCGGCCTTTGAACTATTTCATGTGAAAAATGTTTCATAGCCAGATGGAAAAGGATATCAAGGCGAGGCTTAACACCTAGTGAGAAACTAGGTGTAAGGTACAGAAGAACTAGCAAAATAGTTATGCTTTTACTTTCATTTTTCCTTTAAGTATTTGCTATTCATCTTTTCAAGGACTCTTCCTGGCATTTTCTGGAGACCTCATATGAGGCTGTACTTATTTCATATGCAACATGCTGTCCTGATTCCTGATTGCCTAGATGAAGGTGACTATTGGAAGCACCATTAACTCCTCCTGACTGTGCTCCAGTTTCCACCCAAAGCCTGTGGGGCACTATGTGCATCTCGGTCTTGTTCCAGCATGAACTTGGATCATGGCAATGATGTGTACTGGGGGTGGGACTTCCTACATGGTGTGGACTCAGCCAATTTAAGAGAACAGAAACTGCACTTTTGACTTTCTCCAACAAACTGAACAATTTTTTTAATGATCGCTTTTCTTTATCAGAAGAAAAAACCCTTCCTTATAACATTCATAGACTAATAACTTAGATTATACAATTTATGTGAAATTAGAAAGCTTAGTGATCTGGTGAGGCCTAATTAAGAAAAATAATAATGTGTACCCAGGGACTGAACTTGCACAAGGTTTTCTAAATCTAGATCCATTTGCTAAGTATAAGGATTCATCATACTGATTAAATTTTGGACTTTGTAAGCTAGGGAGAGAGGGCTTAACCTGTTTAACTAAATACTTACTGTTAATGAAAAACCCACCTTTGGACTTCAAGCATCACTGTGATCTTTAAGAGAGGGGCACATGCTAATAATACCTGCGGAAAGGGGAAAAATCTTTCCCTGTTTTCCTGTGTACCAGAGACAGAAATCTTTGCAGCTGTCATCTCTGGAACTCCAGCTGAGGGTCTAGAGGATATATTGGCAACACTCCTGGAATGACTGCTAAGCAGTGTTTGTGGCTTAGTAGGGGAAAAATATAGCATTTGAGATTTAACTTGACAACAGCTGCCCTTGGGTGCTTACTCCCTTTGCTTACAAGACCTAGGGTCTAAATGCTGTAAAACAGGAAACATTTATGAACCAAGGCTTCAACCTTTCTTGCAACCTGACTACATTCTCCAGGGGCCAGCCCCTGGTCTGCTGCAAGCAGAACTGACAGATGACAGATACAGTAAGATAACACAGCATACTTATTTTCCATTTTACCACAACTATTAACCTAAAGAGGAAACCCATGTCTAAGGATTCTCCCTTCCTCCTAAGAATTTTTTCATGCAAGTCTTTCTTGCTATTCAGCGGCTTCTTACTGGAACTTCCTGATGCAAACACCTCTTCAAATGCAGGATCTTTTCTTCCACATCCTATTGTGACTTCTGTAGAGGGGAACTGTTCTAGGTAAACAAAATTGTTGATGCTTTATTTACTGTTTAACTAGTTTGAAATTAATCTGTTCTCTAGGCTTAAAGCTGCATTAAATTTCTCACAGGATTCATCTTCAATGAGGCAATCAAAAATTTCATTCATGTCCTGAACTGCTCTAGTGGTCCGGATTGCTAATGGGAATCCTTCAACCCAGAACAACTACTTCATCTTCCACCTTCTGCTTCTCCAACTACTCTGGGATTTCTTATAAGGACAGGAAGCAAATTCGACACCAAATACACAGGCTTCCTAGGGTGTATTGCAAGGCTTTAATCAGTTATCTTGCTATCAGAAGAAGAAAACCTTCTATTAATTGGGATGTGACTGGATAATGAATTTTTACTCTTTAACAAATTTTTAGTTGCATTAGAAAGCTAAAAGTTGATCATCTAGCCTAGTGTAAGAAGCATTGTTTGCAAGTACACTGGCTACCCCCTTGAACTTCAGGAATACAATTAAGTAGGAAAATACAAAGCTACAAAGCTATAACTGAAAGCTGCAAAGAAAGGAGAGAATAAGGGAAGCCATGTGCCTGTTAGATCTGTGAAGCCCTTCAATCAGTTGACTGTCATATTGGAATCCAGTATATGCAGTTAGGACCCTACAGTTCCTTGATACCATATGGGTGTTTGGGGACTCAAACTGAAGAAAAAATCCCTCAACTTTATTTTTATACACCATAAGAGACTTAAGTTGATTAGAAGAGTAATGTGCATTGTTGCATTCCAGATATTCATGGAAATTCCAGTGTTTTGTGTTCAGATTATGTGTGGGAAACTATTTTTTTTTTTTCTTACTTACTCCTATATGCTGCTTCACTTTGCCTGTGTTCTAGGCAGCCAGCTTTCTTGGGAACCTGGTTAATGTAACCTTGTAGGTTTCTGCCATAATTATGAACATCTTGGTAGATTCACTTTTTTTTTTTGTTTTTGTTTTTGTTTTTGTTTTTGTTTTTGTTTTTGGTTTTTGTTTTTGTTTTTGTTTTTTGTTTTGTTTTTTTTCACAGTTTCTTTTAATTTATATGTTTTTTTCTTCCCCCCCCCCCCCCCCCCCGTGATTTATTTATTTATTTATTTATTTCCTGAAGTTTGATGATTTTTGGCACATGCTATCATCCTTATATTTGCTGGACACTGAAATGGTCATATAGTTTCTTGATCCACTTATACTTCATACTCCATGTGTGCAAAGAACTACTGTTAAAATTTAACTTTCAGCAGACAGCTGTCAAATATATTTGATACTTCTGTTCTCTGAAGGACAGACTAGTAAAACTCTAAGACACAGGGTCAGGATTCCTCTCAGAGAACTGGTTTCAGACTTTTTGCTCATGTTAATACTGCAAAGCTGATCAGTTTATGGAGTCTGAGATGGAGTCTATCTGGTTGCAGGCAGTCCCTAGCATTGTAAATAAATTCCTGATGACAGAAACTTTATTGATGATGATAAACGAGTCACATGCAGTTGAGCCAGGCTTTCATCTCCAAGCTGACTCTTTGACAACTAGGCAAATTAGTCTGACAGGAAAAATGCATCTGTAATTGCGCCTAGGAAGCAGAGGTATTGCACGGTACATAAATTGCCATCAATGCCATTCATACACCGGGTTTTCAGGGCAAAACTTTCCAGAGCCCGTGACTGGCAGCAGAACAAGGGCTGAAAAGGTCCAACCCCCCTCGCCCACAGCGTGCCCGCCAGCAGCCCGCGGATCAGCTTGGACGTTTCCAGCGTCGTCTTCGGCTGATGCTGAAACTTGCAGACCTTCAGCTCGCTCAGGGAAGTAAATCCTCAGCAACGCCCCGCGCGTAGGAGACTTCGCGTCCCCGTCTCCCGCGGGGCGGGGGCCCACGCGTGCCGCCGCCGCCCGCGCCACGCTGCAGGGCAGCCCTCCCGGCCGGCAGGGGGCGCTCGCTCGGGGCCGCAGCCGGCGCTGCCCGCTCTCTCCCGCAGCAGGAGCTTCGTTGCTTGGTTACGGAGCGCGTCCTGCCCCGCCCGCCGGCTGAAGGGGGAGCGGCGGCGCCGGCTCCTCCTGCGGCCCCGGCCCCGGCCGCGGCCCCGGCCCCGGCCCCGGCTCCGGCTCCTCCTGCGGCCCCGGCCCCGGCCCCGGCCCCTCGTGCGGCCCCGGCCCCGGCCCCTCGTGCGGCCCCGGCCCCGGCCCCGGCCCCGGCCCCGGCCGGCTGCCGTCTCTGAGGCGGCGCTGCGCCGTGCGGGAGCAGGCTAGCAGCCCTGCTGCGCGGCGGGGAGCCTGCCCCGAGCCGTGCCTCTCCTGCCGGCGGCCCGGCCCGGCCGGGGGCTGTCAGGTACTTGTCCGAGGGGAGGGAGTCGGGCCCTTCGCTTGCTCGAGAGGGAGAAGCGGGGCTTGGAGGGGTCACTGGATTTTGTAGGTGGAAAGCTTTTTGTGGTTACTTTGAGAAAGCGTTGAGCTTTATCCTTTCTCAGTTGTGGTGTTGTATTTTTATTTTTTTTTTTTTTCCCTTGGGAGTTTCTATCCAACTCACAATTTATGCTCCCAAAGATAGAAATGGTTCAGTTGTTTCCTCAGGTTAAATGCTAACAGCTGTTGCTGGTGCTTAATTATATACGTTCAGAACAGTCTTGTTAAAATTAGTGGGACCCTTAACAAAATAAGGTGGACTTTGCAAGATTGGGTTGGTGTTGGTATACAAAATGCAAAACCTCATTTCTGTTTGACTCTTCAGGCTGCATACAGTAGGTGAAAGTTGCTAGAAAACGTGAGCACTTTGGACTGAGTTATGTGGAAGAGCTGAATATAATGAGGGAACATGAGACTATATGAAGGGAATCTCAGTGGGATAGTCTGAAGATCAAACAAGCAACAGTTAATGCTCCTAGAAACATGAACATTTAGCCCTTATTGGAAGATTTAACACCAGATCAATCGCATCAGTTAAGAACATTATCCTCTCCGGAGGTCAAAGAGTCTACATAAGCCTGTCATGAATATAAATAAAAATATTCCTAATTGATTCATTGCTTGTTCTGAAGTTCACAGAAAGTAAGGATATCTTCTGAAGTAAGAGACATGAAAAAACAAACTCTTGATCACAGGGTGAGGAGCCAAAGAAATAAAACTGTGGAAGAAGACAGTGCTGACAAAAATCAGAGAAGTTGCTCTGAAAAAGTTAACAGAGAAAATGCCACTTGTAGTCATGAAAGTACAGTTGTAAAACTGCCAGTAATAGCATCATTTGCAGGTACCACTAAAAAAATTGTAATGGTCAAGCACCCAGCACCGCCTCAGAAGCCAAATTACTGCATGTCTAATTTTCATGCTAATAGTTTCCCAATCTCATTAGAAAAGACAAAAGCTGTTAGTAAAGTAAAAGGTAGGGTGCGTGTGCTGCAGATGGATCCCCAGAATTTAAAAAGAGATAAAATTGAACAAATAGATACTGTGAATAAAAACGGTGATGAATTTAGCTCTACAGGTTCTGATACAAGTAAAAGCATTTCAAGAAAGGGAAAAATAACAAGGGAAAGCTGTAAGAAGAGAAGCAGAGTGATTTCAAAAGCAAAGCAACAAGATTTAGATGTTGAATCGGGAAGAGTGCTGAGAAAAGGAAGCAAGCAGCCAAGTGTGAGGTCTGCTCGAGAACAGTTGGAAGAGACGAGAGATGTGACTAGACCAGACACTTCAAAAATATACGAGAAGAACTTCCAGCAGAGCAAATCTGAAGAGCCTACTTCCACACTAGCGATGCCTGTGAAAGTGGTTGTAAGGTCTATTGATGAAATAATTGCTTCCCTGCAGTCTACTTCTCCATCTCCCTCAGACCAGACGATCAAAGAACTCCTGGAGAGTGTTCTTGGCCAGAACTACAACATAAAAATGGAAGTAGGTGAACCAGAACAAAAGCAATATTTTTTCTCTTGGGTAAATATTACTTTTATAAGAGTTGTATATTTTTTTCCCAGCTCCTACAATGTGTTACAACGCAGAAGCCAGACAAAACAAATGGATAAAGACACTAATGTATCATAGAATATTCTTCACTGTTTCTTCTGCAAGTGTTTTTGATGTCCCTTAAAACTGAAAATGAGCCAATATCATAATCTATTAAAATATAAGCTCTTCTGGGGTGTAATTTTTATTATACTGCTTAGAGTTTAATACATCTTTTTCTTTCCATTTTTTAAAATGCTATATTCCAGTCTGACAGATGAAAAAGTGTGTTAAATGCATGTGGGATATTATCAGAAGTATTGCTTCTTTTAGTTATTGTTTAGCTTGTGAAGTCTCAATCAGACAAATTCTTTATTGTCACAGTTAGGTAGATTGTGTAAGCAGCTGTAAGGGAGTCCCTACAGTAATTTACAGCAGGAGATATCGGTAATACTAGGCATCAGGTAGATGCTACAGAAAACTTTCCTAGATTTTCACCAGAGGGTTGTTGATTAATTTAACTAGACTAGTAACTTACTATCAGATGTCTCTTTGTCCTCTCATAGCAAGACTGATAGTTTTGTTCTAGTTCCAAGAGGGCTGAAGCTTTTGTCACAAAAATCACCGTCACACTTGGTATTCATGCTAGCACTTGTTAGGGATGCTGTGGAATGAACAGGCCCATGGAGGGTGAATTACTCCTTTTCAGTAGCAACTGCCTCTGCAAGGAATTATGAAAGACTGGTGAAAAGCATATGAACCTGTGTTTTAGGAGATTATAAAGAACATTATTTCACACAACTATCAAAATGCTACCTTTTGTGATCATAGATTATCTCTCATAGAATGTAAGTGTAGTGCCTTATGTTCCCTTAAAGTGAGATTTGCTAAAAACTTTTGGTTAAATACAAAAATTAGGAGAAAAAAGAATCTCTAACTGAGTTAATTTAAATGTGTAAGTCCATGAGCAGCAGTAGTCTGAAGCTGCGTTTCCAGTCAATTTATGTCCTCTGATTTGAGTTTCTTCTGAGAACTGTTTGTGTGGCTGAGGCATTCACAGTGTCTCCCACTCCCTCTGTGTTTTCTGGTGTATTTCCATCAGGATTGAAATCAGAGAAGACTTTTCTCAGTGTGGCAGCATTGAGATGATCCCTCTTCTTTGCTTGGCTTGTATTTTAGGAATGTAATAATTTGGGACTGTTCTCTTCGTGTGTTTGAAATTTGCCAGTTGGTTATGAAAGCACTTCAGGCAGATGGGAAGATCCTGGACTCAGAAAACTGTTTCTTGTTCAACTTATCAGAAATAATTATTAATGGTTGGTAACATGTGTTGAGTTGCATGATTTTTGTTACTCTCTTATAAACATGTCTTATGTTCTATGTAAGATTTTCAAAGTTTGGCCTCTAGCAAGTCCTGATATTCTAAAATTGAAGAGAACAGATTTTCTGTTGTTTGTAGTGAAGGCTGCTGGGCTCTGAGCTTTGAAAACCTGACCTCTGGAGTACTGTGGTTTTAATTCTTTATTTCTAAAACTTACATCCATCAGGTTCAAAGTAAAATGAAGATTTGAACTTGGTGATGACTTTCTGGTCCAGTTGTTTGTTGTTTAATGTTTTTTTAGGTATGAACCTCTGGACATTAATGAGGATGAATGAGACCCTTATTGATTACTTTTTAATCAAAGGCATTTGCAGCAAGTGTCTTTTGAACTTAAGTGACCTTATAAATAGGATGAAGACTCTAGCAATTCTTTATTATTATTATACATGGTTTATTTACTTTACACTGAGATTCAAGGCTTGCCTTCTCTAATGAAGTAAGAAATGTATTCTTTTAAATAATACTTTATTTTAAATTTATACTTTAATAATACTTTATTTTAAATTATTTTAAATAATAATGAAGTAAGAAATGTATTATTTTAAATGAAATAGAAATACCTAGGAAAAAAACAGAACTACTAAAACGAAAACAAGCTCTCAGAATTAAATGTATTTTTAATTTCTTTCAAAAAAATATTCTATTCTCTTTATCTTATTCTTGATCTTGCATTAATAACTATTTAGCATTGACATATTATGATATTGCTGTGGGGGCTGAGTGGCGTTTTTACCTCTGCATCAAATAGGGCATTATCTGGGGAATGAAATGCTAACTCAGTGGGACATTAGTTCTTAGCCCTGTTTCATTTGATGGAAATCACTTATGAATAATGATTCCTACCACATTTTCTGTTAAAAAAGTAGAATTTTTATTATAAGAATAATATAATTTCCAATGTCTGGTGTAATTTTGTTGCCTTGAGGCTTGTTGCTATCCCTGATGTATATGAAGTTATGTGTTGGATTTACTATCCATAAGAGGGTGTTTATATTCATTTCAGAAATGCATTTTCTTGGTATTCAGCTTGATGTTCAGCTTTCTTGGTGATGAACCTGCAGCTCATCTTTAGTTAGTTACTGTTTTCAGCAGATCCGTTCTTTGGTACCTCAGATGAGCTTGTGAGGGTGGTAACTAAATGAACAACATTTTTATTCTCAAAAAATAACATAAAGTTTGAATGCTTCTATTAAACAAGCACTATACAGTGCACCACACTAGCAGCAAGTCAATATAAAATATACTTGAGATTTAAAAAATCATCTCTAGCTCTTGTCAGCTAGTCTCAATAGTGAGGCTTTGAGATTTTCTCTGTAGTGTATTAATACTCTCTCAAAAGTGGTATGATGGAGACTAATTATTGTTAGTATTCAAGAAAATATAGATGTGTTTGCTTTATATCTGTAAGCAAATACAAACAAGTATTTGCTCATAACTTTACAGTATCTCATTTATTATTTGCTCTATATGTTACTTATATTTCACCTGAGAAAAATGATGCAACAGATCATATACTGTTTTCCGGCAAAACAGTTTTTTTAAGAAGCTTATTGAAAACATTTAATGCTTTTTTCCTATAGGTGCTATAAGGCATATTCTAAGTGTCATGGAAATGAGCAAGAGGCTTCAATTTATTTAGTTTAGTTCTCTTTAAGTGGCAAAAATCCTAACTCTTTCCATTTTCTTTTTAAAATTTTCTGCTTACAGATGGCTTTTGGAATGTTCTTCTCATGGTCTTAGCATCGTCAAAATGTAGCTAAATCAAGACCATGATGCTTTTTATGATGAGTTTGCTATTACACTATTAATTCAGGAAGCACACATTATAGACTATGCTCAATAAGGTAAATCATGGCAAAGGCTATGACACTTCCTGGCACTTGCTGAGGGGAGCCACTCAGTCTTCAGGGTTGGACATTACCACTCCTGGATACATGAAAATTTTTTTCTGGAACAGTTAACTCATATTACTTTAGATTAAAAAAAAAAAAAGTTTTGTTTTCATAATGTGGCAAGAAACTGCCTAGGGAGAAGGGAGAGATGTTGGGTCGGTGGTTTATGTGAATGGACTTCTGAAATCTGTTTATTTCTTCAAAGTTACCAGTGCAGGTGACTAATTAAAACCAATCCAGTTGTGCAGTTTGTTACATTTTATCAACAATCACTTACCAGTTCATTATGATCTTTAGACCCACATAATTTATGCTTGCCTTAATGCTACAGGCTTTATGGGGAAAGGACTATCTTTTTACCCTGAAGTCTAACAAAATGGGAGACTAATCCTCATTAGGTCAGTAAGCTGCTGTTATGAGAACAAATTGGTTTTAATCAGATAGATTGTAATCTCCCAGAGTTTCAAGCTTTGTCAAAAGTGTACAGGGTGATTAGCTATGCTTGTGTATAAATAATTTGTATAAATTCACCATGTTAAAAGAATGTTTTAAAGTGCACTGGTGATAGACACTTTTCTTGTCAAAACAGAGAGGAAAATAATTTATTTTAATACCATGTAAGCATTAAATGAGGAATCAAAGGAATACTAGATGAAAACATTTAAGTACGATAAATTTAGAGGTAATTGTTTTTAAAAAAAAACCCAAACCAAACAACAATAACATCATCTTAGTTTTCTGTATGTCAGGACTCGCAATGAGTCTTTTCAGCTACAAAGGATACCACAGACATACCAAAATGACTGAAAATGTTAAAATGGTTTCTAATGAGTTATCAAGGTGCTTGGGTACCTAAATAGTTTTCTACGCCTGCAGGAGGAAGGCTATAGCTACTAAAGCTGATTTTTTAAAGGTGCAGTAGAAGTTTCCATCACAAGGTTAAAATATGAGGGCAGAAAGCAGCTTTCTCAAGAATGGGCAGAACACTCAAGAACAGATTCCCACAGGAATTAAGAGTTGCCACACTTCTCAACACTTTTATTTCTCAAAGTTAGATCACACCTCTTTGGCATTGTTTTGTTAATGCAAACACACAGCCCATAGTACATATATAGACAGTACACATCATTTTATTAAAATAACACAATAGCATTGTGCCTGTGATTCTCCCATGGGGAGTGGACAAAAGAGAAAACACCGCACCCAACAAAGGAAAGCAATCACATAACATGTACAGGTGTCTAAAATGAAATTAAAATAATATTTGCTCATATAATTCTGTTGGTTTTGACAAAACAGGAAAATGAATATGTAAAATTGTGATTTACATATTATGCAATAGTTTAGAAACATAAGTTGATCCAGTCAGGTTGAATGAAAGGCTTTGTGAAAATTTCGCTTTGATTCCATGAACTGGATAACAAATTGCATGGGGAACGAATTATAATCGGCTAAGATGGACTGTAATAATTACTAGTCCATGGCAATCACCATGTTTGAAAATATGCACATGTTGCAAAGAAGAGGAAGATTGTTTGGTATAGCTTGAGAAGATAAAGCTGAATCTGCTCCTTTCAGTCTGAGTTGTTGCTACATTCCTCTATTTTAGTTCCTTGCTCTCATGGTGATGAAAAAAATATGTACTATGAATTGTTTTTTTCTTAAGCTCTCTTTTCTGTCAAAAGTAGATAAATTACTAAGGCTTTGGCTAAGAGCAGAACTGCAATGTGTACAATATTCTGTAAGGCCATAGCTTATTATTGCTTTATAGTTTACATTTTTGGGGTAGTATATGTATCTGTTACTTTGTGTTGGCCTGGAGACTCCTCCTTTTTTCCTTTTAATTTTCTAATATGCAAGGGAAAATTGTTACAGCTTAGAACATCCTTATTAACGTTATTAAATGCAAAAATTCCTAGGCATTAAAAAAATTAATATTTTTAGATTGCTCAGTGGGCAATATACTCAATGGAATAAAAATTCTACTGTGTGGAAGGTTCTTACATCAAAAGAGGAAATAGACATTTGCAGAGCCAGCAAAGGATACTTTTCATGACGTGGCAGACTGTTTCTAACACATTTTCACCTGATAGCTTTAATGCATTCTTGCATCAACTTGTGGCTCTGAAATATTTCCCCACAAATATTTAACATTCTGTAGCAGTTTTAAAGAACTATATTCTAAAATGAAATGTGGTTTAGATGTGATACTTCTGTTTGTTGCTGTTATCTTTAAAACGTGGTTCCTCAAGCCAGTGTATGGCACAAAGGGTAAAGTACGTGTGTGCTGAGTTACGTACATGCATGCTAACCAGGTGCTTAGAAGGCATACTGCCCTTAAAAATACCATCTGTTTTGAGAGTTGGTACTGCATTTTATTTCTGCTTTCTTTGTATGGATACGCTGTAACCAAAAGGGGATTTGTTGAACGGTTCCTTTGACGAGGAAGTCTAGTACGTCTGGGAACTAAGAACAACTTCAAATTTTGTAGTAGCTTTTCTGCTAGTGGAGCAATTATAAATTTCTCATGTGGAGAAAATGATTAAATTAAAATTGTGCTCAGCTTTTAAACTTCTCTACTATAAACAGTTCCATTAAGAAGTTATTTAAAGAGTTAAGCATGTGTGTAAATGTTTGTAAAAGATGAGCCTAAGACTATTTGTCTCTGAATGTACTTATTGCTTTCAAACTAATTTGTGTAATGAAGACCCAAACTTTAATTTATGCATATATATGCTTTTGAGGTTGTTTTGTTCTGTAAGGTAATATGAATAACATATATTTTTTTTTTTAGCATGCTTGTTTGACACTAGTTTTCTTCTCTTGCTTATACAACAGGCACCAATTGAACATGAGGAAATAAAAACTGAATCTCAAGTCCTGCCAAGTTTTCACCAAGCAAGCCTGGTAACATTCTGCATTATCTCGGAATGTTAAAATATAATAAGTTAATAGTGCTTCTATTTGCTTGCAGAGTTGTTAAGATAGGTAGTTCATATTTTAAACTGATAAAACAGGGAAGGAAATGAAATAGTCCTTGAAAACATTTTGGTACTTCATAAATCACAAGTATACCTTTATTTTTCTCTCTTTCCCTTTTGTGTCTCCTGCTCTTTTCTTACAGATTTTGATTCTCCAACTGCTGGATATAAAGAATTTTGCTTTTATTAAGTAGCATGCCAATTAGGGCAATGGAATCGTAAGACATTCATCTATATTCATATATATTAGTGCCCATCATTCTATACCTTTCATTCAAACTGTTTTTAAAATTTAAATATTTAAATTTAGATATGTTTGGGGGATTGCTTAATGTTTAGAGGCATTAATGATTTATTTGCTTTACAGCAATTGATATCTCTTGATAAATATTTCTGATTTATGTTTCTTCTTACATTTTGCAATGTCTTCTAACAATTGCGATTTGTAGAAGAAATAGATCAGACCCTTGATAAGAAATCTCTATAAATATAATTATTTAGTGTTAATCATTGTAGGTTCTTTGCCTATTACTGTATTTATTTTTGGAAATCTAGTTAGCTGTTGAGGAAATATTTGGCTTAAGATAAAATTCATACAGTGTTCTAGGTGCTTCATAAAATGCATGGCTGATGAAAGAGTAATTGCATATAATAAATATTGTACCACATTGCCTATCAGGGAGCACAAAAGTATTTTTTAAAAAATATTGTACATTCACCTCTTACGTTGATTTTTTTTTCTTTTTTTCCCCCCGAAGACACCAGTAGTTCAGCAAGGATCTCAAGCAGCAGAAAATGAATCTCAACCTAAAGATGAGCTGTTAACATACAATAAGCAGGTGAAGCAGGTAAACAGGTTTAGTACTATTGTAAGATAGTATTAGTTTTCCCATGCTTAAGGTTTTGATGCTTTAGAGCATGCAGAGGTCTGCAAGCTGTTTCCTTACCACCTGCCCTATAAAATATTTTCTATAAAACAGGTCTTCATACTGGTCTTGCAGCTTAAGGTTAGAGGAAAAAACAAATTAAGGTTCATTCGGTCAGATGTTGGGTTAGGCCTTTCTTTATGAGATTGGAAAGAAGATTACAAATGAAACAACATATAAATAGAATCCTAATCTACATTTAATAAGTGGATGCCTTCCTGGAAAATGGCATAATGCTCAATATCCTTTTGGTTTTGCGATATTTCACATGTGACAGAAATTGTCATTAGTTTATCAACTCTATAGAGCTTAGATTTTTAGTAGAGAACACATATCAGATTTATAGAGACTACCACAGAGAACAAATTTGTTGCTAAGACCAAATAATGTCTTTTCCCATATGTTTCCAGTTTGTAGTGTTCTGGTATTTCAAGGATATAACCAGATACTAAAATAAAACTCTAACCTGGTTCCTTCTGCAGTTTTGATGTAAATGATTACTTTGACTTAAAGTTATTATATATGCTTATTATAAACCAGAATAACACTATTTATCATGTTTACAATAGTATAATAAGAAGGACAACCAAGAATGGGATATGTTTCCACTAGGCAGTTTCATGTGCAGAGATACCAGATAGCCTTGCCCTAAATGTAAATAAATGAGATGAGTACAAGGTTGGATAAGCTACATGGGAAGGCAGATACGGATGTTGAAAAGGAGATAAAGGGACCAAAATGGAAAGAGGATGGGACACACACATATGGGATGCATGTTGATGGCCCAATATTTGTGAGTATGTTGTTTCAAGGTCTGGTCATCTTAAGGTGGAGGTCTAGTCAAAATGAGAAACCTTCTGAATGTCTAAGGGCCTTGCTTCAGCTGCTTCTTCAGCTCCTCCCACTGGCTGTAGCTTGGCCCTGACCGTGTCTCTTCAAGCTGCATGCGGAAAGGGATGGCAACTGGTAGGCAGGTGTCCAGAATTCCAGAGCATTTGCAGCTAACTTTCCTTATCAAGTTTAGTATAGCCAAGAACTGAGAATGCACACAGCTTACCCTGAAGAGGTAAGGGACAGGGAAACTCTGGGAGTGAGTCACAGAGAGATGACAGAATCTCCCCATCAGTCCTGTTGCTGCATTCTGTAATGGCGCTACAGTGGGCATGAAGTAGAGAACTAAGTGACCTGGTGATGCTGGCCTGAGCAGTTCCAGTAGGCCCGCATTCTTCTACAGCTAAAGATGCATATTTCCTAGCAACTTTGGTGGTAGAAAATTATATCTGTTAGATGGGTTACAGTTCTGATGAAGAAAATGCATGAAAGTGAAATGATACTACTTTCTAAAAATTCTGCTAAATCAGAAAAAATATCATGTTTTGAAACTTTCCTTACAATATTTGTCTGTCTATAGGTCAGAAATGTTTCTAATCCTTCAGTAACTGAAATGTCATGTGTCATCTGTACTTGGCTATAAAGTTTTATATAATTAATATTAATAATGTTGTCTGCAGGTAGTGTTAAGAGTATACTCTGCAACATCAGTTGATCTGTTGGTTACTAAACTAAATATGCTAAATGATGTGTAAACAATACACAGCACAATGTCACTGATGGTAATTTTTATATTGTTCAACAATATAGTAGGATTGTTTATTACTTCTAAATTATATACTCTTTGTAAACAGAACAGTTTTCCAGTTATTTAAACAGTATTGTGGTACAGTGATAATGTTTTTTAGACAGTATTATTTTGGGCAGCATGCCATTTCTGTAATGCCCTGGTGTTATTGTTGCAACAACACCCATCAGTGTGTGTTCAGTGATCTTGCAGCACAAAGTAGTATGCAAGATTGACACCTGAAAAGATAACATACATTCGGTTCTATTTTACACAAGTACTATGTAATTTAAATATATTAATTAATTTGAAAGTGCATGCTTTCACTTTTACACACATGAAAAAATAATGGAGACATGTTTTTAGAAAAAGAGAAATGGTTTTAAGAACCCATATGTGTTAGCTAAATGCTCTATCCCATCCTTAGCAAAACTATTTCTATACAGAGTAGCGTCAATGTACTGTATATTAGTGTCTCTACAGAACACTATTAATTGGCAAGTTTTTGTGACATCTTGTTTTTGAAATTATTTTGCTCTGCTTAGTGGGCTGCAGGTCCCGTGCAATTTCAAGATAAATTGATTATGCAGATGAAATTGTAAATTTGGTTATACACAAAGCAATCAAATGAAAAAATGCAGATATTTGCTTGAGTTATTGTAATTTTATGTAGCTGAATCACATAAATGTTTTTATTAAAAAATTGTCTGTTACTTTGCTGGTATTTCTACAAAGGAAATGAAGTAAAATATGAGATTATATAAATTTAAAATGTCCATCTACTAGTAAGAGTGTTGGCTCATGTTGTCTGATTTTAAGCTTAAAGGAACTCTCCTCTACTTGCTATACTCTCCATAATTCATTAGCAAGAATGTGTTGAAGTCCTCCTTCATGATCTGTTTCACAAAAAAGATAAGATCACAGAACTTCGGCTTATGATTTTCAAATAGTAACTGCTGTAATTTTAGTTTTGGTGGTTTTCATTAGCCATGTTGGTTTCTAAGACATTGGCAAGTGTTGTTGAGTATCTTATGTTACTTTGGATATCACTTACATGGCATTGTTTTATTCAAATTAATTGAATATCAGGGTGTTCCAAAAGCTGGTAATGGCAATGCATCCAATCAGGTTACTTTTTTTTTCTTTAAATTGGACAAGAGATCATGACGGAAACGTTTACCTGACATTCAAAAGTAAAAATCATAGTAATTTGGCTCATTTTAATGGTACATTTTCAGGTAGACGTGTTACTTCCAAACTTTTCTGTATTCCTTGTTTTTGTTACCTTATTTTCTCTATGTAAATTTTTGATTGACTTCCAGTTTCTCTGTTAAACATCAAATATCTGACTTTGGTCCTTCATATTTTTTCATGTATGTGCTGATATAAATAGTAGTGTTGGTTTCAAAAATAAATTGGCAATATATGAAACCATTTTAATTTTGAATAAGCCACTTCAGAAAATGGTGATTTATTTAGGTATTTTCTACAGTTCGTGGTATCTTTTACCTGGTGATTAATATACTTGTTTATGAACTATAAACTTCCATGATTTTTTCATGCAGTGATTCCTTCTAAGAATTTAAATACTGCTGAATTTATCAGCAGACACAGTCATTGTGCCCAGTTATATTCTGGGAAATATAAAGCATGTGAGTGGACAAAGAAGAGTAAAATCCTATGCTTTTGTGATTCATTTAACCAGATATGTGACTGAAAAATCTTAATTAGAAAAGCATTTGGTCACAATAATTGTATTCTTTGGGTTCCTATAAACTAAGCTAGCCAGACTTATAGAAGTAATTACCATGGTGTATCAGGCAGTGTTGGGCAAAAATGTGGACTTTTCATATTGAGAGAAAATTTTTTCAAGACAAAGCACACGAAAATTTGTTTTTCCCACTGTGTTGTTCAGTTTCTGTGTGTCTTTGTTATGCTATGATTATGCGTCCTTATTTTCTTGAACCTGCTTTGTTGTATTATGTATGCAAGCTTTTAAGTGGAGTTCAGAAGAATCCTTTTTGTACTGTTTTACGAAGATGTTTAACAGTTTGGAGGAAGCAGAATTGCGGAATGGCTGAGGTTGGAAGGGACGTTTGGAAGTCATCACAATATGGAAAAAGCAGCACAAGGGTCTGGGTTCTGAAGATGAGTTGTATGAAACAGATGCAGACAGTTTGGAAGCAATGACTTCAGTAGTTCTTTTTCCTTGCTGCTTGCTCTTGCTCCTGGATTACAGTGAGCTTCCCCTGACAAGATTTGTGTGTGGGGACATTCTACAAAATTCCTTCTACAAAGGGAATCAGAGATCTAGATTAATTTCTGCCTTTCCTCCACACTTCTGTTTTTTACTATTTTTTTTCAACATGAACCAGTTATCTGATCTATTTCGCAGTGTGAAAAAGCAATTTTTGTCACAACTAAGCAGGTGGTGCTCTAATAAATAGGAATGAACAGCTGTGGGTGAAAACAGTAGGAATTCCTTACATTTGTATTCCTGCTGAAGTTCCTGTATTTAATAAACATAACCTTGAAAGAACTTTGCTTATCATCATCCTTTAAACTATATGTATCTGTCTGAATTTACTTAAAAATATAATGCAAATTTTAGATGTGTTCATGCTCTTCTAAGTTTAATAATTCTGAATAGTAATACGATTTTGATGCTCTTTTGGTTATTCTTTTTGTAATATATTGAAATACACTCATACACCATTCAGAAATGCAGTTTAGGTAGGGCACATTGGAAATTTTGTTTTATCACACTTTTTTGCTTATTCTATATCCTGAATAGCTGTCGGCGCTGCTGTGATATGTGCAGTGACAGCAGTTCTAAACTACTCTAGTTTAATTGAATTGTGTTTTCTGATGGGTCAGAGTTGCTTGTGTGCCATTGCTCCTTGTTCTATTCCAGAGTAGGTTTGAAAATACTCATATAGCTTACCAGTTTGTAACACTGTGTTTATCTTCTGTTCATGAACATTTTAGGCTCCATCCTTGGATGTGCTACAGGTGAAAGGAAAAGCAATACCAAAAAAAACAAATGAAGTTCAGAAAGAGCTACAGGAGGAACATGACTTGCAACAATCTTTGCCTCCTCAGGCTTCAAATGTCAAGTAAATTTTAAAACTTATTTCATTATTATAAGAAAAATACTGAAAATAGATTATGAATGCATAGCATGATAGATAAACTTGGAGAAGAAATAATGCCATACCCCAAATTTGGATCAAAACACATGCAATTTCTGATCTAAATTATCAAGTTTAGTTTGGTATCACTAGTTTTAATTTACTACTTATCTCCTTGAAATAGTTCTGCTTTACTGTTTTTAAAATCCAGAGGGCCTATTCAGTCCTGCTGTATGCAGATGAAACTTCTCTTGACTGCAGCAGAAACTAAAGTTGCTTATGTGGGGGTTGAATTTGTCCATACAATTCCAAGCATAATCTAATCAAAATAATTAAAAACAAACAATGGAAAATACCACAAATTTAATATAAGCAATGCCAGCTGTAAGTCATCATCTTTAAATAGAGAAGATGTATTAAAAATTCATTAACTTGAATTTGTATTACAGTCAGTGCTTGTCTGAAATTCAGGAGATTTTACATGGAGAGCTGTAATCTAAGGACAACTGCTTATTACCTTGCTCTTGTCATAGGTTGTATCTGTCATTCTGTAGTAGGAGTGCAGATTACAAAAGTAGTACAGACCGTGTCCTAATTTAACTGATCCTGTCCATCCCATGTCAAGTGAGACTCTTCAGCTTTACGGTCATCACCGCTAATAAGATCTTTTTATAGATAGCTTTGTTTAGATGTACCATAGGTTGCTTCTTCACTTCTCTATTGAGAAAAGGGGGGGAAAAAAGAAGAAGCTTTAATTATTAGCTTTTGTTGTTCTTAGGGTCCTGAAAGGTCTATTGGATCCAGAAGAGAGCCTTTTTATGGCAGACCTAAAGTTTGTAAATGGATAATACTTTCAATTAAGTAGCTGAGAATAGTCATGGGAAAAGAATGCTTAAGTTTATGAAACAGTCAAATTGGCATTTAAGTGACCCTTTGCATGCCATTGCTTATCTGCATTGCTTAAAGATCATTTGGTTAGCAAGATTATATATTAAAACAAATAGTGTCAACAGACAATGAGTGTTTTACCTTCAATAAATACTTACTGTCAGATTATCAATGGTGCAGAAACTGCACGATTTTCTAAAAAACCTGTATTTAGTGCATTAAGTGAAGGTAATGTAGGCCACACACATAGTATTGTTTTTTCATGTCCCCTTTTTTCAAAGAATGATAAATAGTCTGTTTTAGAAGTGTGTGCTGTAAAAACATTAAACTTTACCTGCAGAATGCCCCAAATCTTTCAGTTTACATTGATAAAACATGCAGTTCATTTAATGAAATTATAAACATCTATACAAAAGCAGTAATGATAATACAGTTAAAATAACATTCAAATTGTTTTTATTTATTTACATTAAATTAAAAAACTTAGAGAAAAAGTCCCTAGAGAATTTAAAAAATATTCTGCCTGCCATCATTTACAGAAATCACTCCAAATGTTGTAAATTCAAAGTTAAACTGTTAGCCATCTATTTTTTTTTTTTTTTTTAATTGTGTGGTAATTGCATTGCAGAGAAAGTGAACTGTGTTAGAACATCCTGAGGTAAACCAATACGTTTATGAATACTATATAATCTCTGTCAAATTAAAAAAAGTAGTGTGAAATACTTCTTTTTAATTTTAAATTAATGTGATCTACTTATTAAATCACTGATATCTGATTTCACATGCCAAAACAGTTACCTATTTCCATTTATGCTGTAAATATATTCAATTAGTTAAAAAAAATATTATTACCATTTGAGTTAAATGGAGTAGCTGTAAGCATACCTTAAATCCTAATCATTTTTTTTTTGTCATGAATTGTGTGATTAAGTTGCTTTTCAAACTGGATATTTAATTTTTATGTTTAACTTTCATATTTTATTTCATAACCTTGACCCTGTTCTCATTCAGGCAAAAATGCGACTGATTTCAGTAGAGACATTGGATTGTAAAATCTGGTAAAACTGTGTTGTTGAAACATAAAGTAACTAGGCTCTTTTGTGTGTATTAAAGTTGTATGTCTTGGAAAAAAAATATCTTGAGCAGTTTTAACTAAAATAAGAAAAGACTTATTGACACTTTTTCCTGTTGGTTTGTCATGTGCCTATAAATTTAGGGACTCAAACTATATTAATGTAGTGGAGATATATCTGGTATATACTTGATGTGATAATTTCTTGATTGTGAGTGAAATTTCTGTTATTACACTGATTTTTGTGGGTTTTTTTCTTTACACGTGTGATTTTTATCTTTTAGTTTTTTACTGTCAATATTTTTAAGAAAATGTAAGCAAATATAAAATATTTGTAATCTGAATATGTATTGCATGATAAATCAATCTTGTGTCTTTCCTTTTATTTTATTTTGTAGTTCTTGCTGATTTCCCCTTTATAATATCTGTTTATAACATAAGACATAGTTCTCAGTAAAACAAAAAACCAAGTTGCTGAAAGTGTAACTGCCTCAGGAGAACCTCAGAAAAGTAGTTAAACCTGAAAACTATTCAGTGTAATTTCAAAGTAGAATTTTAACCATTTCATTTGGGATTTTCTCTTAAAATGTGAAGGCACTTACAAACTTCAATTAGAAATAGCATATATTTAGGGAGGTATTTCTGAATTTTTTACATCTCAGGCATTTTCCATATACTAGTCTTCACATTGTAACTGTCTGCACGTTAGACATTTATTAACTTTGTAGAGTTCATACAGTAGCTGAAGACTGGTTTTAGAATTTGATCCATGGCCTGTGGAAGTCAACAGACTTTCATCACCTTCAGTACAACTTAGATTGAAGGGTTAAATGGTAGCATTTTTTAGTTATTAACTTTTCAAAGGTAGTCAAAGACCCAGTGCTTCCTCTAAAATCAACAGCTGAATTGAGAATCTAGGAAGAAGTTCAAGTGATAGTATATCATAAAATTAATTCAGAGTTTTAAGGGTATTTACAAGGTACTCTGTCATGGGAGAGAATTTGCAGATGAATGTATATGTAACATAGTAACATAACGTTTATTCACATACCTAATTTAAGCTGTAAATCTGTGTTACTTGCCTTAAATTTTCAGTGCAGTAAGTGAAAACTCTACTTAAGTTGGGAATGTAAAATTGTGACAACTGCACTTATTTTTTTACTTTAAAATTACTACCAACATTTTAGCTTTTACCTGTTTTTCTTTTGTAAATAATATGATGGCTACTTTTAGTAGAAATCACCAGGTACTTTATGCCAGGTATTTATGTTAGCAATTTATATCCTACGGTCTGATGTATGTCATGCTGTAGTATGTGATAAACTATGTACTTTAGAATATAGAGAATGGATATTAAGATTCTTGATTTCTTTGTTTTTGTTTCTAGAGGTCAACATTATCCAGGCATTCATCGTTTATGTACTACTTTTCCTAGTTTTATATTGCCTCCTTATTTGCAACTGGTTTCTAGAGTTTATCATACTTTAGACAGAAGAGGTCACAATATCTTATTTACAGCAGAGGACATGGACAATAAGGAGGAAGAACCTATATGTTCCAAATATATTTATTTGAAAGAGCAAGATGAAAGGGAAAGGCATGAACTTGCTTATTTTCAGAGTTACTATGATTTCATTAATTTTGTAAATTAAAGGATTATATGTTCAGAAATAACTTTCATGGTGTTTCACTATTTAGTACTCGCAAAGAAAAAGTTTTGAAAAAATTGCCTTATTTGGTTGATGTGTTTTAAAATAATTAGAGCAAGGGTACTAAGATGCTTGTATCTTGCTTAGAATGTGAAATGTATTGTTAGTTTTTAAAAATAAATTGCATTTTGTAGACTTTTTAAGTAATGTGTCACAATTTAAGTTACAAATACATGATTTTTTGTACTTAATTCTACTCACATCAGAGGTCCCATTGAAATAACAAGAAATACTGAGCAAATAGAGTAGTCTTTCTGTGAATGTAAAATTCTACAATACTAAAAAATTTAAAGTGCACACTCACTAACCCTTTATCACAGAGACAATCTTACCTCAATCCTGATTCTACAGGCACTTAGGAACAAGCATAACTAAGTAATTGAGTGTAGTTCTGTTGAGTTCAACACATGAACAAAGTGAAGCACATATAGAACTGGGACCTAGATAAACTTGTAGTGAAGAATATTCACTGCATATGTAAAAGGTAGTCATGTGATAACTGCAAAATCCTGCATCTTTAATGAATTAGGAGTTGAAGTAAAACAAAATGCATAATAGTTATTTTTTCTGAGGTAGATGCAGCATGTAAAAAGAGATCTGTCAAAAAGTTTGTTCTATAAGAACTAGTGAGGAAATGTAAATGGATTTTGGAATAAGCCTCCTCAGTTTTATCATGTTATTATGTTACCAATTTTTATATTTAATGGTAGTTAATTCCTAAATATTTGGGTGTTGTTTTTTTTTTTTTTGGGGATGTGTTTTATACTAAAATAATGTGCATATGAATGAATATGAAGCATATTCTTTTTTAATTGTTACTTTTTTGCTTTTTCATGCCTTTTTACTTTATATAGTAACACAAAAAACCCCAGAATTGAAGTCTTAATATTATAAAGTTTTTCCTGATGTTTTTTTCAGACTGGCAGTTTGTTACTCATAGTTTTTGTGTATCACCAGCTCCAGAAATATAAAATTATTGCTCATAAAGTCTGTAGTGATCTAAAGAATGGTAGAATGGCAAATAAGGATAAGGCTAGGTCAGTTTTACAGGGCAATTTGTGTAGCTTGTTAACTTGGGCTCACTTGGAAAACATGCGTTTTAGTGCAGCCAAATGCAAGGTCATAAGGATAAGAATAGGGAATTAGGGTCATCCTTTGTAGGAGGGGAGATAGTATCCTGAAAAGCACTAACTCTGAAAGGAGCTTTACGGTCTTGAAAGATAAGCAACAGAAGATGGCTGTGTAAGACTCTCTGAACTTTAAATTAAAAATGTTTACCTTAAAATACAGGATATGAGACATTAACAGTAATATAGAAAAGAAGTTTTGGGATTAGAAATATTATACAGAGCTTTCCTGTTCCAGGTGGGTGCTCTAACAACTGAGATAGTCATGTCACTGCTTGTTCTCTCTCTTTGCTGCATGACTTTTGCATTCTTTTCTGCTCAACAGCACAACTTCCTGTACCAGAATGGTCAAATAATCTAATGGTGATTGAGGTTTGAATCCTCAGATAAGCAACAAATTCTCATTTCCTGGCTTTGTGCTTCAATACTGAATTATCATAAAGGGGTAGAAATCACCACTCTGCTTTTTTTCCTGTCTTATAAAAGAAAAAAAAAAATCACCTTGCCCTTCCTTGAAAGAATGGAAGCATCCACCCTTAGAAGAGGGTTCCATGTTCTGGATTTGAAATACAGGGAAATTACTGCCTGCAGCCCCTGAAAAAAATCTAAGTTCCAGAGATGGGCAGCAAATTTCCTGTCGGCTAAATCTTTGATTCTTCTTCCATATGGAGGTTTGTAGGAATGTTGTGCCCTTAATGCACTTAACAGAGTGTTCCAAATACCATTCTGGGGGAGCAAGCAGAAGTTTCAATTCCTGTATGTGATTTCTCTTTTTATTGAATATCAGTTCTGTATTAAGACATTTAAAAAGATCATGATATTGGTCTTACAATAGAGATATAAGGTTGGTTTGAATATATTATCTGTATGGTATAGTTTCTGATGCAAGAGGATTTGCTAAATGTGAAAACGTAACAGACCCAGTAGTTGAGGTTTCAGTCTAGACAACTGAGAGTAGCTATAAGATTTCAATGTATAGCAGTGAAGGTAGCATCTTCTGAAATTATCCATTACTTACAGCTTTTAAGTCAATACTAGATTTATTTCTGAGGTATATCCTGAATTTCACCCAGCAAATTGTGAGTTTGCTGCAGGTATACTGATGAAATTTTATTATCTATATTATTTAGAAGGTCAGGTTGGGTAATCATGATACGTCTCTCTGACCTTAAAATATGAATACATAAATTGCTTTATGAAAGTTTTTAGTCATTGAATTCTTTTGATGTATTCAAGATTACCCTAACCATCAAGGATGGCATTATTTCAGGGTATAGGATTAGGCTCTGATGTTTCCCTTCGATTTTTGTGAGCTTCTGCTTCTGTCAGGAATTTGGGTACCATATGAATATCATTCATGGCTATAATTGGAGTGTTTGCTTTTGATTCAGCAGTATTTTCTGTCTGTTGGACAGATACAGACAGAGAATGTAAGAACTCAGTGAGAATAAGGACACTAATCAGCATTGCAAGCAGGGGTTTCAGCATACCAGTAACCCACTCATTAACTGTTTTGCAGGTCATGGTAGAAGAGGTATTGAGGGAATTCTGAGAGAATAAATCGATGGCTGTAGTGAGCTTTTCTCAGGTATGAGAGGCAGCATGTGGGTGGGCAAAAAGATGTTCATAAAGGAAAAAAACCCAAACTTTGGAAGTCAGCTATGGAGTCAGAAGTCACAAAAATAGAAGTTATTGCTTTATGGATCTAGACATGACAAAAAAGGAAAGGCTGTGAAGGTTTTGAGAGCAGAGGAACATCTTATATTTGAATGAGCTTGTATTTTTCTATTACTTCAGAGAATGGGATAATGTTCAAAGCAAGCAGCTATGATCTTTTCAGTAGGTCTTTGAATTAATGTGAACAGAACAAGGTGATGGTTGTTTAGGCTAAAGAAATAGATGCTGCAGCAAGAGAGATGTGAAATTAGATACCAGACTTTAGCTTTGTAGAGATATTAGAAAAATACTTGAATTTTAGAATGTTGTGAATGATACCTGTGTTCTGAGTCTGTTTGAATGATGGGATGCTAGCCATAATGATGAAGTAAGTAGTGGAGAGGCCGTGAAGGTTGAAAAGGGAAAGGCACATCAGATCCTTCTTTCAGCCTTGCTGAGCTAGCACTTGCAGCTTGACATCTCTATGAAGAAGATCGTCTAATTTTGTTGGTGCAGAACAATGACGAATCATGCTCTGATTCATTACCATGGAGAGGAAACCTGTATGTGTTTTTTTACTAGAACATTACTAGAAATAGAGTAGAGGAAGAAGAGAAGAGAGTACAGGACAGGACCCCTTGAAATACCGAGAAAGTTGAAGGAGTTAGATGGGAGTGGAACTAGGAGAGATGAATTGTAGAAGCTATGGGAGGATGGGATTTGAAGAGAGCAGTTTGATTTTCAAGAAAAAGCCAACAGGTTAAGGAAGTTGAAGGTGAGTCTGAACTTTATGAATCAGTAAAAATTTTTGGGAAGAAATTTTTACATTGAGAGCCACATTCCCCAGAGATTAAAATAATTAAAGCTTAAAAGGAAGCCCATACCGAATTTCCTTGCTAAATTTATTTAATCCTTGAAATCTAGAAAACTAAATTCTTTGGAGCACTGCCATCTAGTGGTACCATCTACCATAATACTATGTTTTTAATTTTTAAAACCGGTTGCCTTATGTGAGCCTTGAAGGTCAAAGGTATCATTTGCTTAACACCAGTTTAGGACCATTTAAGCTATTCACATTTCATTACTGAACAATTCCCTGCATTTAGCTAATTTCACCAATGCAGATGATCTATGTTGGGGTAAGCATGATTTCCATGTAGTGGATAGCAAAATTCAAATTACTTTGTCAACAGCTTAAATAGCAGTAAATCTATTTTTTTCTTTTTGTACTAGTTCTGAGTTCTTTTGTGAAAGAATCTGGTCTGACTGTAACAAAATCCAAAGAAGCCTACAGTGGTAGGATTTTGTGGTAGATCAGATCAAGAAAACAATAATTTTCTTGCTTTAAAGTCTTGTCTTCACCATGAAAAACATCCACAGGCTTAAAAATATATATAATTTTTAATTCACATCTGAAAAATTGTCTTGAGGAGCAGAGTGTATCAATTTATCAAGATGTAAACTTCCCACAGTCAGCTACAACTCTCTCCTGGGTTTCACCATATTAAGCTTATTTTGTCAGATAGCAAAAGTGCCTTGCCTTTGCTCTCCTGTTTAATTTGGGCATACTCTGCAGGCATCCGTTATATGAGAGTAAAAAAGCTAGTTTTCTAGTCATGAAGGCAAGTATTAAGCTAAATATATTTTTTTGAAAGTTATATATGGATAGTCAAACCTGTTCCTGGCAGATATCCTACAAAAATTTTAACGGGATTTGTAGCTTCATGTTATGTTTGTTAAGATTCCTTCATGCAGGAATGCCTGCGTCTTTCTGACACATTCTGGTTTTACAGTTTTTTTGCCAGCAGATGGAAACAGAATATTATTAGATCAGTATTATTATTACTTGGAGCTTTCCTCCATGTTGCTTCTCTCTTCCAAAAATGAAAAGTCTGAATGTTGTTTTGCCTTAACTCACAGTTGATTACTTAGTTATAAACCACCTTGAATTGAAAACTATTTATAACAAAAGTGCACTAAACCAGGCACAGCTCTTTTTGCATTGTTCACTTAAAACACTTTTAACCGCCAAATGCTAAGGAATAATTTTGATTATTTTATACCTTTTCGTATGTTGTATAAATTCACTTGACATTCCTTTTATGCAGACACCCACCTTGAAGAACCACCTGTGGTGGGTTGACTCTGGCTGAACACCAGGGTCCCACCAAAGCCTTTCTATCACTCCCCTCTTCAGCTGGACAGGGGAGATGAAATATAATAAAGGCTCATGGGTTGAGATAAGGACAGGGAGAGATATTTCACTAATTACTGTCATGGGCAAGAGAGACTTGACTTGTGGGGAAAAAAAAAATATTACCAATCATGTCAGATTAGGATAATGAGAACTAAACCCAAATCTTAAAAACACCTTCCCCCCACCTCTCTTTCTGGGCTTAACTTTACTCCTAATTTTCTCTACCTCCTCCCCTCCAGTGGCACAGGAGGACAGGGAATGGGGGTTGTGGTCAGTTCATCACATGTTGTCTCTGATGCTCCTTCTTCCTCAGGGGGAGGGATCCTCACACTTCACCCCTGCTCCAGCATGGGATCCCTCCCACAGCAGATAGTCCTCCACAATCTTTTCCAATGTGAGCCTTTCCCACAGGGCTACAGTTTGTCACAACCTGCTCCAGTGTGGGTCCCTTCCACGGGGTGCAGTCCTTCAGGAGCAGACTGCTCCAGCATGGGTTCCTCCATGGGATCTCAAGTCCTGCCAGCAAACCAGCTCCAGCGTGGGCTCCTCTCTTCATGTGTCCACAGGTCCTGCCAGGATCCTGCTCCAGCATGGGCTTCCCACGGGGTCACAGCCTCCTTTGGGCACCCATCTGCTCTGACATGGGGTGCTCCCCGGGCTGCAGGTGGAGATCTGCTCCACCATGGACCTCCCTGGGCTGCAGGGCACAGCCTGCCTCACCAGGGGCTTCACCAGGGGCTGCAGGGGAATCTCTGCTCCGGCGCCTGGAGCACCTCCTCCCGCTCCTGCTTCACTGACCTTGGTGTCCACAGGGTTGTTTCCCTCACATTTTCTCACTCCTCTCTTCGGCTGCAGTTGTGCAGGCTTTTTTTCTGCCTTAAACATGTTACCCCAGAGGCGCTACCACAGTCGGTGATGGGCTCAGCTTTGTCCAGCAGTGGGTCCCTCTTGGAGCCGGCTGGCACTGGCTCTGTCAGACATGGGGGAAGCTTCCAGCAGCTTCTCACAGAAGCCCCCCCTGTAGCCCTCCTGCTACTGAAACCTTGCCATGCAAACCCAATACATCACCAAATACTTAGATGTAAAGAAAAACTAGGAAGGCCAAACACTTGTCAAAACTTAGATTTTCAGTTCTTGTTTTTCTTCTCTTTAAGAAATAGTCTTTTGTCAAAGCTTCCGCTTGAACAAAAGAACATTTCAGAAAGTTCAAGAACTACTTCCAGATCTATAATATTTTTCTCTGTGTAAGAACTACAACTTCTAGGCTCGTGCTGCATTTTAAGGATTTCCTTTTAATGTCCAGATATACTTTAGAAGGAGTTTTGTTTGCTAAATCAAATGCCTGGTTCTCAGTTATGTTGAGACACCCCGCCACCCCCCCCTACCCTCCCCCCCCGTTTAAATAGTATTCTGATAATTTAAATAGGTCTTAAAATGGAAATACATTGCAATTATGATAAATGAGAATCAAGTCCACTGTAGCAGATATATGTCTGACAGTGAAATTGCGTGTAACAGAAGTTCCACACTTTAGTTCCATGAATGCATGAAGAAACTTCATTATTAATTTAGGATTTGCAGAAAAACCACCCCAAACCTGACTAACACCAGTAGATGTCAGTGTTGGCATATGCCAATGTGTTGAGAAAAGTCAAGTGTTCCATGTAACGTGCATTTTAATTTACATCCATATATGGATGCTTAAATATATGAAATTGAGTGTTTTTTCTTGTTATTTTGTGTAAATATTACATATTTCACCATTTATTGTGTTCTGTGCTTGTAACTGCTAATACAGTAAGAACTAGATATGTGAGAACATTGTACTATAAAACAAGCTGCAAGAAGAATAGCAAAAAATATAAATGTAACTTCTACTCTCTGTTAAATAATTTTAGATATAAATCCTGTAAAATATCTGTTTAATTGCTAAATGTTAATAGTTGTTGCTACTAAGCTTTAAGATAGTTTTACTAACTTGGTGGTAGAATTAGATTGTTCAAATCTGAATTTCCCCTCTAGAGGTGGTAGGAATAAAGGAAATGGAGGTAGAACAGTTATTACAAGATTTTATATATATACACACACATATGCATATATAAAAAATTTTATGAATTACTGTGCTGTGTAAAAGTGTTCATTGTTTTTGGAAATTGAAACTGTAGATAGGAAATTAAGATGTATAATTACTTTAAACTGCAACCTTCTGAAGTGAAATATTCCTTTTGCAATGTGTTTGCCATTAGGTAGATTTCTTTAAAAAAGGCGCAAACAAAAAATAATCAGAATCCAATCCCCAAGTAATCACACAAGGCACTGTTCAAAATCAGCCAGATGTTCCTGGTGAAATTCATTCTCTTTGGCATCTAAGTGTATCTGACTGTAAGCACAGAACTTGAGTGATGTATTTGCCATGCATGAAGTTATTCATTACTCATTTAGAGCTTAGTGTTATATTTTTCTTATGACTTCTATAATATACACCATGGATCTGATCACGAAAGTCGTCTTAAAATTATTTGGTGTGTGACTACAAAATTGTAAGTTTGGCACCAGGTTTCCATTATATATTAAGTCATTTTGATCTTTAGTTTAGAAAAAAATGTTTTATTCATAATTTATTTATAATTTGATTTAAATTTTACCTAATTTTCTTTGTCTTTAATAACTAAGCTATTTCTGTGCTGTTAATACCTGACATAATCAGAGTCATTTATTAATTTTTTATGTTGCTGCAGAATTTGTTATGAAGGAGTTCCTATTTCAGAGCAACCCCAGAATAATCGGACAGATGGGATTCACTTTCTTCCCCGTCATACCTCAAAAAATCTAACTGAAAGTCAGAAAGTAGCTGAATCTTGTCTTAAAAAGCCACAGCTGCAGCTGTTAGGAGAGAAAGTAAGAAATAATTTTAACAAATGTGTGCTGTTCTTGCACAATCCTACAAATGAAGACAGAAAATCTGGGGGAAAAAAAGTATGTGGGTTTTTTATTGTATCATGAAACAAAAGAACAGAATACCTTGGAAATAAAGTTCTGATTTTTTCAACACTTGACCATATGCAATATAAAAATGTATATAGAGTTTTTCATCAATGGGGAGTGTTCTGAAACCTAATTTCTCAGTTCTTAGTTCCTTCTCTGAAGTAATAAAATATGCTAATATGCTAATTAATAACAAACAAAAACACTAAGAGAGAAAACCAGGTAGCTCATTCAGGCTATGGAGTCCTATATGTCTCGGGATTTCTTTGTATTTGGTGGGGTTGTTTTTGAGAAAATCATGTTTAGCAGAAAACAGCATTTTATCACCTAATAGTTCAGATTCAGTACAGACATTTATAAACTGGATTTATGTTATTTGATAACTGGATTGTATTGTTTTTGAAGGTTTCCATTTATCCAGAAGCTTTAAAAATGTTTTGGACTCCAGCTCCACCAAAGTTTTCTGCTCCAATTTCTTCATTAAAGGAAATTTTATTTCCTACATATGAGGTAAATATTTTAAATTTATTTTTAGTGTTCCCATTTCTTGAATAAATATGTCTTTTTCTGACATCGTTAACTGTAATAGTTGTATTTTATGCTACTATCTTATTAACACTTCTGTATATTGTAAGCATCGTATATAAGTCATCATACAATTTGTAATAATATGTATTGAATAATATTGTTTAATTTTCTACAATAATAAAGTTTCTGGTAGTAATTATTCTTACTTACCACTTGCTATTATTTTGCTTAATGTCATTAAACTTATGTTGAAAGCTAGTTTTGTATAGTTTTGCTTCTGCTGTGCTATACTGGCAATGATTTCTATTAAAGTGTAATAAAATATTTGTTATATTTAACAAAGTCCATTTTAGAAAATGCCAATGTTTTTGAGTTTTGAAATGTTTTGAATGTAAAATGTCCACTGTGATTACAATATTGCGAAAGATGAGATGTTCATGTAAAAGGCCATGCCTGTTGTATGCCTGTGTTTGTAGCACTCTGCATCTTCATATGGCAAAGGTTACAGAGAAACCAGCATTTCACGACCAGATCACACTCCTGTGCAAGAAATAAGCATATTGTGCATCCTGTGCATGCATAAGCACACTTATGCATGGATTAAATGATAGCAGGAATAAACCTGACATAGTTCCCCATCTCCTGGCCTTACTATGACCAAATTGAGAGCTGTGTTGTTCTTACTATACAGACTACTGAGACCTGACATAAATTACCAAAACTAAAAATCTCAGAGAATCAGGTAGCAATGTTCAGTTTCCTGAGGTCTGTGCCCCTTTAGCACCATGTAATTCTTGATCACATTAAAGAATGTGCTCCTTCAGAAGCCTGAGATAAATGGGTTCTGTGATGTTGGTCTGGATCATCATAAATCTTTAGCTCAAATATGTTGTAAGCTTTATTTATTTATCTGTTACTATGTTTTCTATAGCTGACTAAAATAATAGTATTGCACTATTCAAATATGCAAATACATTAATATTTCAGAGCAATGTTATTGATGATGTTGTATTTGAAGACTTTTTCACTGATCATGAAGAAGAGTTAGAAGCTGAGCAAGACAGTAATGATTTCTGTGATTATGAACTGGTCTGTATTATGGTACAATTTTTTTTAATGTAACACTAAAAATTAAGATTAGCCAAACAATTAATAGTTTGAAGATCTAGTCATAAGAAAGTATTTCTATATAGTTGTCTTCTAGAAAAAATGTTATGTTAGTTATTTGTTCATTTTTTAATAGAAGGTGCTAAATCTCACTTTTTGAAACTTGAGACTGCTTGGAACGAGTCATTGCATAATTTAAAGATGCTTCTTATTTTGCATTATTATAGCACTAGGTGATGATTTAGGGGAAGACCTGTGATATAAGTAACAGGTTTTGAATAATATGATATATCACAATGGAACGGCTTACTTGAAGTTCCACTATGCTCCGACATTTGAAAAACTGCAAGAGTCAAGAAGCAGAATAGGGAAAAAGAGATGTTTCCAGGTGTGTGATTTTTTAAATCTAGAATTTATCTGAATGTAATATTAAAGGATAGGCAAACAATTCTATGTAGATTTGCAAGTGAAAGATTGAAGCGTGGCTGTAAACTGCAGTGTGGGTCTTTCCAGTTACAGAATCTCGACTATCTCAAACAGCGTTGATCTAGTTCCTGGAGGCAATGTAGGAAATGAGAGCTGTGTGCTCCACAGAGAACCTGAAGTGCCTCATGATGATGTTCAGTTATATGTGTTTACACAGAGTTAGCTATTTCAAGTGAATAGGTCTGAGAGGTGGAAGTAGGTAAAAGCTTACCCAAATCCCATGGGAAGTAAGGTGAAAATATTTCTTTACCAGAGAATTTGTGGCATAACTGAGTGTTTTGGTACTAAAACACAGCTGAAACCGTGGAACTGGACAGCGATGTTGCTGAGACCTCAGCTAGAACTGAGGAAAACTAGTGCCTGAGTGGATGTATTTGCAGCTGGAAATGGACAAATTGTGAGGCTAGCATGTTATTATTGCAGGTGAACTCCCAGGTATAATTTAGTGTTTGGAAGCATATTAGAATTTAGGGCTCCATCCGCACGTTTGGACTAGTAGAGCAGTTAAGATCTGTTCGATAATGTGTTTCCTATTTGAAGGTGAAACATGCTGGGAAAGACACACTTGCTTTTGTCACTGAAAGAAGCTTTTTAAATAGTGACTATGGCTATTTACATTATTCAAGGGTATGTGACTTGTAGATGACGTAGAATTGGAACAAAAAGATAAATTCAATTATGGTAAAGGAACACTTGCTGGTTTGAACATATCTTGCAGGAGCTGGCTAAAAATAATCAGGAGAATCTTATTTACTATGTCAAAAAGGAAGGATTCTGTGATCAGCTTTGCACATCTCCTACATCCTCTGGAAGCAGCAACTTAAAATAGTTATTTTGTATTCAGCTAAAAACTATTTGGAATTTTGTATTACGTCTGACTTCAGGCACAAAGAGGTTATGGCTGTATATGTAACTGTAAATTGATTTGGAATTGTCCAGCAGAGATGAAAAGTGCTGGTAGTCCTTTGCCAACAGATTGACTGGGCCACTAGATATAATAGTTGGAAATAATAAATTCTGTGGTTACTAGAATATTATATTTTATTTCAAGTCTACTTGTGGACCTATTGGGAATGTCTCTTTTACTGAAAAAGAAAACTGTTACTATGGTACAGGTAGGTCTATTAACAACAACAATTAAACCCAGATAAAGCATGTACAGATTCCTAGGAAGAAGTAATAGTCTAATTGGAAATTAAGGTTGTGGTGATGTTATGTGGCCATTTTTTGTCTGGGATTCCCAAGATAGTAATGTGCGTGTGACTAATGCCATTTAATGTGGAGTGAATTTGACACTTTTAAGAAGTGTCTGGTTTGCAACTTGTTAATTGGAAAGACATTTCCATACACACAGTAAATTCCCTAGGTGATCAACAATATGGTGTATTCACAGCGTGGTCTGAGACTGAGGCATCTACAGAATACACATAAAGTATGTCCACTAAATCTACTTGCTCTTTAGCATTAATCTATATGAGTACATTGAATGTCTTGGATTTTGGGTATCTGGCAGTGAAATGGGCTTAAGACATCCAGAAATCCAGACAAATGCGGTCCTTACTTTACTCTGGCAAAGCTGGGGTTGATTATTTTTTGTGAAAATACAGATTTCTTTGGACACTATCTCTATTTTTGGCAGCCTCTGCTTTTAAAAGAAGAATGTATCTGAAAGATCTATTCGTATTAGACTCAGAATAATTCAGACTTATTTTGCTTTTTGTTTTTTCTATAGACAGAAAGTTTACCGAGAAGATGCCAATCCTTGCCTGATTTTTCTGATTGTGAGAGCTCAAAGGTATTATTTTATATTTACTTGTGTTTGTTCCTGAACTGTGATTTTTGTGGAAGAAATTCTTCCATTGAATTGAATTGATTGGTTACATTAAATACATTAAATAGGAGAACATCTCCTAAATAGGAGCTGCTGTTAACTTTACAGGCATTTGGATAGAGATATAAGTGTGAGTAGTCTGTACTCTAGCTAACCTGAAATGAGTGGAACATATCTGAGTAAAGATTTGCGGTATCAAGTCCTTGGATTTCAGACATATCAGGACATCAGTGTTGTCAAGTTTCCAATATGTAAATTGCTATGTACTTTTATGGCTACTGAAGTTATGTTAGCTGTTTCATAAAAAACATGAAGTGACAATAACCCATGCAGATTTTACACTTGTGCAAAGATGACCTTAGCATTATACAAGTAAAATTTTATGAACAAACTCATTTTTAAGTAAGAATTTGAGGAGTATGTATTTATTTAAAACTTCTATATAGTCCATAAAGATCTGCTTAAAATGTTGTGACCATCTTATTTTAAAGACGGACATGAAGCATGGCAGCAGTTTGTATGCAATGAAAAATAAAATAGTTTAAACACCAGATTTGCAATTTGAGCTAAGCATTGATGCTTGATTTTTAAAATACCGGTTTCATGTGCAGATAGAAGTGGTCTTGCAGAATTCAGCTGGCAATCCTTTAGCAAAACTATACATAGTTCATGAAAATAATTTATCAAGTAACAATTCAATATTTATGCAATTTGCAGTCAAACTATTTGATTTTGTGATAAATGACAGCTAATGATAGTTACATATAGTGATAAATGATAGCTTTGCCTTGAGTTTCAGCTTTGTAATAAATCACTGTGAAACTTAGATTTAAAAAACAATTATAATTTTCCTAAAGAAAAGTGGCATGCTTGTGACATTGAGATTTCTTTAATCTTTTCAAAACTTCACAAGGTATAATGCATTACGACAAATAAAGAATGAATGGTATTGAGTTACTTAAATGGAGTGCTTTAAGTTATTACTAAAATAAATTACAGGCTGATGCAGTGTCCTTCTAATAAATACATAAATTAAATAATTCTTAGCAAATGTCTGTAACCAAGCACTGAAAAAGTGCTCCTTTGAGTCTAATTGAAAATTATTCAAAATTGCTCATTGCTTGATTTATTTTTAAATTATTTATTACTAACAAGTGTTTCACTCTGTAAATTTCAGGCAGTGGACATGAAATTGCATTTTAATTTTTTTGACAAAGATGTGTTATGCCTAGTATTATAGTGCAAGTTAGTGAACTGGAATTAACAAAAAGACTGAAAAGCAATACAGTTGTTATTGTAAATAGTACTTGCTTAATAATTAACAACAATTAAACACCATAGGATAACAGTTATTCTGGTTTTGATTTTGTCAGATGATTCAGGGACGGGGTGCACAAAGTATGAGAATGCAGAATTCCATTCATATATGAACTGTGTTTCTATATAATACAGTTGTACTTCCAAACTTTATACAGAGTCCTCCTGTCTTTTCTTTTGAGTTCAATATATCTCGGTTCATCTTTTTGCAAATATCACCAGTGGTATACATTTTTGATTTTAAAATTTAACTTTCCTACAAGGAGTGGGGTATTTAATTCAAATTTCTTGTGATGCTTTTTGGAGAAGGTTGATTTTAGCCCATTATGGGCTTCAAATAACTTTGAATTAATGTTTCAGATCCCTTTGTTTTGAGGTATGCAGTTCTTTTTTCCCATTAAATACTTGATTTTTTTTTTTTGACAGTGTGGTCTCCATGTCTTTTTTTTTTTTTTTTTTCCTTTACAAATTTATATAAAATAAAATCCAGTCCATTAAAACTAAGGAAATGTGATGTGTAAATATTATTTCAAATGAACATCTAAATTAAGTTTCTTTTTTTTTTTAACAGACAAGTTTGATTAAAAGATCAGTCTCAGCTCTGGAGATGGCTGCTTTCAAAGATGAAACTACATTAAATATGTCAGCTAATTTCAAAACCAGCATGAAAGAGTTGGAAGTTATGAAGCAACGGATAGCTGAGCCAGAGGTTGAGACAGAGATTGGGAAATGCTCCCCTACCAAGCATCTATTGAATCAAATCTGTGATGATCCTCAGACAATGCAGACAAACATACCAGTAGAAAAAACACCTACTTTGACTGGACAAGAGGATAGTGAGAATGACATTGTTCTTGTGGAACGATCTCAAAAGGCTGGGATTAAATACACTGTTTTCCCGAAAAGAAAGAAATCAAAGAAAATAATGAAACCTAGAAAATTAGAGGCTGTGATTAAGAAATTAAGTCAACCCCCAAAGATTCTTGAAAGGTTTTCTTAAATTACTGTGTATTGCCTTTTTAAATAATGTATTTTAATTTGTAGACATATTACCTATTTACAGATTTTATCTTTTAAAATATAAAATATTGTTATGAAATGAAGTAATAATAATTATAGTTATTTAGGAATAATATATATTTTTTAATCCAAAGAAGAAATACATACTGCTCAGGTATATCTTAGGACATTTAGTATATATTGCATTTTAAATGGTAATGGTGTTGCTTCATGTGACAACAGAAAAAGATTTGTCATGGTATAAACGCATGATTAAAATGGTCAAACTTCTTTCTTCTGAAAGACAAGGGAGGAAATTCTAAGTTCTTAGGAAAATGAAATGCTAGGCTGGAATAACCTCCATTGTACCATGAACTTCATAAATTACATCAAACAAGTAGTTTGCTTTTTACCTTTTTTCTTTTTCACACATCACTCTAAATATTTTTCTAGTGATTGTTTTCTATTTATGTACTTCAGATAAGGAGTACCTGCAAAAAAAACCCCAAGTGTTTTCTGGTTTTGTGTACAGTTATATGGGTCCCCATTGTACTTACACTGATGCTCAGGCCTGGTCTTTGAGGGCAGTTTTCCATTCAGCTACTCCTTTTTTTTTCCTGCTTTTAGGCACCTTTCAGTGGGTTTATTCTTAAGAAAATCAAAGATACTTAAATGGTGTGATATACTGGTATAGTGAGCTGTGACTAAGTGAGAAGATGTCCTTTTTCCAAAGTCCTCCTCTTTCAGACAGGGGTACTGTATGTTCTTTGTCAAAGACTTTCATATCAGTTTTGCTAAACCAAGGGGAATTAATCTTTGTATTAATTTACATGTCATTCATGCATGGGCCCGCTACATTTTTTATTTAATTTCCTTTTTTTTTTTTTTCTCTAGTAGAATCCTTATGTATAAAGTATTATAAATATTAGGTACATAGTATTATAAATATATATGTATAAAATACTTTCTCTGTATTCCCTTCTGTGTTATCAAGGCTAGTACTGTTTTTGTTAAAGGCTGCTGTTTCTTTCACTTTGACATCTCAAAGTAGATGTTGATATTGAACAATTGTGAAGGTTCTCATCTTGGAATTTATGAATTTTCCCAGATTATTTTGGAAATGTCCTTGTAAATTCAAGTGCTTTTTTTTTTACCTCTGGGTGGTACTGCTTCTGCTTATACTCGCATGGCCCTTCCAATCCATTGGGATCTATCATTGATATATTTGTTCATCTAGAATATATCATTTAGCCAGGCTAGTAATTGTCCACTCTGAAATATTGTCCTTTCTTAGATTTAGCATTGTCCTTGTAAACTGAAGTTAGAAGCCTTTTGAGGAAATAAGAATGCAACTGCAAACTTCAGAACAATTCTGCTTACCTGTGGCTTCAATATGGTTTTTGATAAATGGCTGATAAGTTGAAAAAGTATCATTAATGAGATCTAACAGCTGCTTTTTAATAGTTGTTGTTAGTTAATTTTAATATATTTTTCCTTAGGTGTGTGTCTCTGGGAAGGCTTCCTATTCATGATAAATTCAGTATCAAGATTTCTTCAGCAGTCAAACAATATCAGAGCCCCAGCATCCCTTGTTTATTAGATTTTGAAAAGTTTGCAGAAGTGAGGGGTGGAATTCCAAAAGAAACTTCTGCTCATGTGTGGGTCAGTGGAATATGGAATTGCTGGTTTGATGAAAATTTCCCTCCTAGTGGGACTGCCTCTGATGAGAAGAATACTGAATTACTGAAAGGAACTGAAACAGTGGACTCTCAGGAAGCAAATCTACAAATAGAAGTAGCTGACTCAATGCAGCCTGTTCTTCTTGAGGGTACAACAATTAGTATTGAAGATTTAGAAAAAGAAGTCAGAAATCTGACTGAGCTGATAGAAAAGGAAGAGCATCCTTCAGCTTTTCACTACTGCAGGCGGGGAGCAATACAAAGAAAGTTAGGCAAATTAAAGTCAGCTATGGATGACTTGGAAAAAGTAAGTTTAATACCAGGTTTTACTTCTATCAAAAAACATTTTTTCTTTTTCTTTTTTTTTTTTTTTTTTTTCTTTAAACTGAGTGAGTTCTTCAACAGGTAAAGATCTAGAAGCAGGAGTGCTGATAACTAGCTGAACCACCCTTTACCTGTGTATGACAGAATGATCCAAGTTCAGTCCCACAAGAATAAAGATGCAGGATCTTAATAAACTGTGTTTATTTACCCTAGGGTTCTCCAAGCACCGTAATATTTCTTTGGAAACCCTTGCTCAAGATACAACACTCCTAAATGGAGTTGGAGATAGGATAGACAAAAAGGATAGAAAGTCTATTGCTTCAAGTTTTGCTGCTGGGAAAGCTGACAAATATATTTTTTGTTTCTGCAAAAGCATAGTAAACAAATAAATTGAGAAGCCATGTATTTCCTGTTTATGATTAAACTATCATTTGACACTAAGATGTTATACAATACCAGTGTTTTTTTAATGCATGTTTACTTTTTTCAACACTTAAGTTCCCTTTGTAGTGCTACAAACCTGCCATCACTCCTGCCCAAGATCTTCCACAAATAGAAAGAAATAACTGAAACCGAATAAAAACATTGCTGAAAAAAACAGAAATGAAAAGGATATTTTTAAAGTCTATAATTTAAACTTGTAAACTGTAAAAGCATTCAAAGACATTCCTTAAGCAATGGTCTAGTTCTATATGTTTATGAAACCTGGGTAGAGAAGTACTGTGTTGTACTTTTACTATGGTATTTTCAATGTCATTTAGCATCTATATTACACACAACTAGTCATAACCAGGTTGGGACCCCAAAGTACTTCATCTTATATATAACATCATAAAGCAAAAGATGTCCTTCTTTCCTTAACCAATATCTTGGCTCTTAACACAGAATTTGGTGTTTGGAGAACCAATCCTCAGCAGTTGCTTTGGGGTTCATGATCCTTGTTATGGAGTGCTGGATAATTCAAGATTGAACCAGATCTTTTGTGTTGATATTGCTTTGTGGGAGTAGAACACCATAAATCTATCAGTGTCCCTGAAAACAATTTTAACAGCAGGCACCTTTAAATAATGTAAATAGCATTTCTTTTGATAAAATGCAAAGGTCAGTTGGTGGGAATATTTGGAAGTGTTCAAAGGAACAAAACCAGTACAAAATTGCTTGGCTTCACGTTGGTTTCTGCATTCCTTTCAGCTAACAGTCTCAAGGTACAATAAGTTTTAAGGAGGCTTATGTGTATCCTGCAGTGAGATCCACCCTTCAGATTTTACTCTATTTCTAGAGTTTGCCTTTCCCCAGATGCATTTGTCTTAGGGTAAAATTTCCTTTTATAACACCATTTCTGATAATGCTTCTCTTAGGGACAAATCTATATTATTTTTATTTTTAATGAGACGTAAGTACCTATTTTATGCACCTGCAATCTGCACATATTACCTTCCAAACTCCACAGATTATCTAACCAGAAAATTGACTATTAATAGAAACTCAATGAATATCTTGTGTCTTTTTTATTCATCCCAAACTTTACAAACAAAGTGTCAAGCATCTGAAAGGCTAAAAATCCCACACCCTGGCAAAGTGGTTCATTGACCAATGGGCTGATATCAACTGTCAAAATTGCTTGCCACTGCTGTTGCATATTTTAATGAAAGCATTATTGACTTTTCACATTTAAGATATATGAACACAAATCCTATGTAGTTTATGGATCCTAGAACTAGTTTATAGACCAAAATTGAGAATCACTATTGGAGCAGAGCAATCTCATATTTATATCAGTCTCTATATTTATTTCCATATGGCTCTTAAGTGTGTGTTATATGCATAATGAACATATGTGAAATATCTTACTTGGTTGGTAATATCTGTCAAATGATTTTATTACTCAATATTAAATGCTTTTTATAGGAATCATGACAGCATGGTTTGAAAAGCTTATTCCTCTCACAGGGAGAGGTTAATTGTTCCTTACTTTCAAATAGAAGAATTCTGTCTTCTAGAAATAGTTCAGATAACTGTTTTAAAGAAATCATCAAACATGGTAATATCCCAGCTGATTAGCATTTTGTGTTGGATGTTCTGGTAGCTTGGACTCTGATTCTGCATATGTGTAAGTACACACGCTTTTAAATGAACAAGTGACAGTGAATTTTTTCAGATTTTTAAGTTAAATAAGTTTGCCAGTCTAGGAATTTTCTTAAAAAAATAATAATCATTTCAGTGCAAAAAATGTCTCATATTCTATCTACTATTGTTAGAACATTTGAGAAGTTCCTTCTGCAATATAAAGAAATTATTTATTTTGTTTTTAGGCTATAAGCTTAGAACCACTTCTGCTTAATGCTTACTGGCATAGGCATTTGATTTACCTCTTTCAAGACAGATTTTCTGCTGCTTTGGATGACCTGAATTTTATAACTAAATGGAGCAAAAATAAAGCAGGTAAGTATCTATTGAAGTGTAACTTAACAGTTAATTTTTCACAGTGTTTTTTCTCTAGTTGCTGTTGGTCCTAGTTCTGCAAGTGGTTTTGTACATATTTAACCTCAGATCAGTTGCTTTATCCATATTATAAAAATATTATAAAATGGACATGAATCTTCAAAGGCTTAGGACAGAAGTTGGGTTTCTGGGGCGAAAACATGTACTTTAGTGTGTTTTTAAAAAATGCAAAAAAAAAAAAAGAGAAAAGGAGGACTGATGAAAATTATATCCATTAACTTAATGGGGAAAGCTGATAACAATCCCGTAGTGGAGACAGTGTGCTACTGTGCTTCAGTCAACCCTGTTCTGCTATACCCTTTAACTGGGAAAAAGGAGCTTTAAATACCACCTGGTTGCCAGACCAGGCCCTGCAGGTCAGGAAAAGTGATTCCTCTCTGCCGGATTGTGATGCTGCAACTCCAATAATTTGTTCAGTTTTGGATCCCCTGGTATGAGAGAGACAAGCTGGAGAGAATCCACTGATAAGCCATTATGATGGTCAGGGATCTGGAGTCTAAGTTGTATAAGGAAAGGCTGAGGCAGATGAGTGAGTAAGCCTGGAGATGGTAAGGCTAAGAGGGAAATCTGTTCTCAGCTACATAATTGGTAACGGAGGAGATGGAGTCTGACTCTTCTGAGATGCACTGCAGGAGAGGAGGCAATGGTCACAGGTTGCAGCACAGGAAATTTTAATTGGGCATGGACTTGTAAGACACACCCCACCCCTTCTTCCTCTACCCCTATTTTTTTTGTTGCTGAGCAGGACATTATATGGTATGGGATATCCCTTTGGCCTACTTAAGTCAGCTGTCCCAGCTGTGTCCCTGCTTCTTGCCCACTTACTCACTGGGGAGAGGGCAGAGTGGGGAAAAAAAGAATCAACAAAGGGTTGCATACAGTGCAGGCATCGTTCAGCAAGAGTGTAAACACTGTTTTAGCCACAAATCCAAAATGCAGCACTGTATGGGTGAAGAAATTTAACTCTATCCTGACCAGACCTAATACAGCGGGATAAATATTTTATGGGCCCATTTAAACTAAATCTCTTTATATTTGTGGCCAACAGGTCTACACTAAATGGCTTGATGTGCCGTTTCTGCAGAGTGCTACAGAGAGCAAAGGTTTTTAGTACCTGTGCATCCAGCAAGAGCTATCAGTTTACAGCTGCATGGGCGCCATGGTTGAGCACAAAGCAATAGCTCTAAACTTCTGAGTTCTGTTGCTCAGATTAAAACAGCACTTCATGGTCTTTTGTGTAATCTACTGTTCTATTTCTGCTGCTGATGTTAACTGCTGTGTAAGAAGGAGATAACTTATTTTTTTTAGGCTGCTAAATAATGCCTTTTATGTTTTGGGTGATTGTTTCAGATACATACCTGTCAATGGCTGAAATTTATAGGAAACAAGGTGATAATACATTGGCAATCATCAATTATAGCTCTGCAATACAATGCAGCCCTACAGATGATGACATTTACTTTAGGAGAGCTGAATTGTATTTTGAGGAAAATCAATTGTTATTGGCCATGGATGATTATGCCAAAGTAAGTTCACTTTTTTATATTGTTACAATAATGTAGTAACTCTGTGTACCTTTAGTAAAAGTAAACTGTATTTTGGATATATTTGGTAGGTAGGTTGGAGAACAGATATCCTTTCAAATGATATTTTAAAAAAATAAATGCTATGGAAATAAATAAGTGATTTCTGTTACTCTTGCTGGCTAATTCAATAAATTACTGAGTGTCAATAAATTATCAGCCACTAACAAGCTTGCATCACTACTTTTTTATTTCACTTTACAGTTAATGGAAATTACAATTGATACTAAAGGACAAAGGAACGAAAAAAATCTGAGAATAAAAGAATAAATGATTTTTATGCTTGTTTAAGACTTTTAATCATTTGAAATAATAAGAATGAGGAATAACACCGTGTACTACTTTATTTTTTTCATTATAGTGTTTTCAGTATAACCCAAAAAGAACAGATGCACTTATGAAACATGGGATACATTTTTTTGACTGTTCAGATTTGACTACAGCTATTCAGGATTTTACAGCTGTGATCAAGGAAGATCCTATCAATGCTCAGGCGAGGTAGACTATATAGTTTGACAAAAGTATTTGAATTTTAAGTGGATTATTAAAATAATATTAATATGTAAAAGACTGAATATGCATTATACAATAATAAAGCAATTGTATTTCCAAAGAGGTGTCTAATAGAAACAGAATATGAATTCTAGGCCATTATATTCATTGGGGAATCTTTGTATTGCTTTAATGACTTTGGATTAGTCCCTAGACCTTAATTTAGCTAAGCACAAAACCATGTGCTCAGATCCCACTGGAGTAATGCAAATATAGAGTCAGTTGGACTTAAGCACATGCATATGTGCTTTGCTCTAAAGAGATGGATTTAAATACATGCTCAAAGTGAAGAGTGTCCTTAAGGATTACATAGTTCTATGTCTAATTTCCATTGGTTGCCTTGACACTTCTAGTTTTAGCATTAGGATGAAATAATATTTTCTGCGAAAAATTTGAATTATGAATGAGAAGCATTCTTATTTTTGAATGATGATGATTTTGAGGTTTGATTTACAAAGACTGAAAAAAATTATGATTTCCTTACTAGAAAATGTGACTTCTTTTTAATAGAATTCCTGCAAAGATTTACATTCTTTTAATACTCTATTCTGGATTAATGAAAATAGATGTAAAATAAAAATAAAAGCATATATTCAATACCAGATTATGATATATGAATTTAGGTGTCAGCTTGCTGTATCCATGGGATGTAGGTGTCTGAACAGCCATTATCACAAAGGACTCTAATCAATAGTTAATAGACTCTAGGTAGAATGAATATAGACTCTTCTATAAAACCCGGAGAGCTGTTCAGATAAACTGCTGGTAAGTGTATATTTTTGGATGAACTGAATTGCTCTGATCTCCTTGGATTATATTGACTAGATCTTCATAAATTGTAATGGAAAGTCAGACACCTAACATATGTTGTAGGCATCTACAAATAGACACCTAAATTCAGATGTCTTATTCTAGAACTGATTTCCATCCAAACTGAACAGAAATGGCTAGTGAAGGATTCCCCTATGTGTATCTTCTACCTGTCAGTCTACCTGCTTCATCACAGGGAATCACAGAATCATGCAGAGTTTTCTTATGACATTAGGTTCCTGTGCTACTAAAGTAATTTACAGATGCCCCTTAAAACTCTGACTTTATGTTGCTTCAAGATTTTATTTCAAAACTGCATTGGCTTCCTGAAATCCACTAGTTCATTAAGGCTCACCTGTTGATGTGTGGTCTCTGTGAATAATCCTAGTGAGTATGATTAATATCAGTGCCCTGTGTTTGTGTAGAGTTAAGCATGTGATTTAAATTCTCAAGGAACTGACTTTACTCTGTTAGATTGAAAAAGGAATAGTATATAATTTGCATGTTAACTCTCCATTGAAGTGGGATGTGGCATAAAACCCACTTAATAAGTGAAAGCTATCTTCAGCAATACAAAAATATAAGTTTTATATATTATATTTTGCATTGATAAAATAATTTTGGAGCCACTGCTGTCTATTCACATGTTTTCACCCATGCCGGTGATTTATCTTGTTTAAATATATTGCTAGCTACCTGAATTTGAGGGAGGAATAGTGTAAAATAGTAGGATCTGATTTTGTAAACTTGTCTGTCTGAAAGCAATATTGAATAATAGAATGGATGTTTTCAGAAAGCTTTAATACTAATGAAGGCAGTTTCATATTTTTAATTTTAAATAATATTTACCAAAATCTGGTATCTCCCATTCAGAAAGTGCTGCACCAATAGACTATGTAAGTTGGAAAGAGTTCCATTCAACTCGGATGCCCAAAGCTGATACAGGGTTCCATTATATTGAACTTGATTTATGCAACTGCAGTGATTTGCCTATATGGTATAGATTATTGGACTTTGTTCCTCCAGACTTTCTTTATTAAATTCAGAAATAGAATTGAATATTTAGTCTATTTTTCAACATTTTTTTTTTCCTGAATAACTACTTCAAGCTTTTATGGCAAAAACAATGGAAGAACTCTTGATATTAGGCTGACTCAAACTGTTAAGATTATAAATAATAGTCTATGACTTCACACTATGACCTCATTCTGCAGGTGTAATTTTCAAAGGGAAATTATATTTAAAGAGAAACTTTCTTTCTTATTAGGCTGTATCGAGGAAGAGCATATGCCAAGCAGCAACAGTATAGAAATGCAATAGAAGACTTGGCAGCAGCGGTTCACCTAGACCCTTCTTGTTGGTTAGCATTCTACTATAGAGGTTGCATACTACGGCAGATTGATCCAAAAAGAGCTGTGCAGGACTTCAGTGTTTCTGGTATTGCTTGTTTCTTTTAATGGTGTGTATGTTTGTCGTTACTGGTGAATGGTCATTCCTCTTTTTAATTACTATTGCAATCGAACACAGTTATTTCATGTTGCAAACATTGAAATGTATGGTTGTCATTCAGTGTTTGGTAATAACTTGCTCTTTTTAATTTCTGTTAAGTTTGCTATTAAACATTGACTCTTGCTGCTGTTCTTTTTCTTCAGTTATTTTGCCTCTGCTTCCTAAGATTTTCTGCTTCGTTTTTAACAATTCAAGTGGGTATAGCTGAGAATTATAAATATGTCTTGAAGGTATTTTGTGCCACAATGAACAGTTTCTGTTATGAATTAGTATGTTATGTTATGATTTAGCTGTGATATTTTATAAAACTCTAAGAAAACTAGAGTAAAAAGTGATGTGTAGATAAATTGCATGGAGTAACTGAAATATATATGAATATCTGAACAACTGTTTTTTATTCTCCCTCTCCCACAGTACTCATCAATGACACTCAGGAAAATTTCCATTCTTTTCTTCATCGTGGGATTGTTTACTCAGAACAGTGTCAATGGCCACTTGCAATCTGTGACTTTGAAAGTGTCCTGGCTTTGGACAGGTGACTGGCCTTGAGAATTTTAATATATGTTGTTTATATTCTGATTATCTGGGGGCATGAAAGTATTAATAAAGGAAAGTAGAATCAGAATGGTTATTCAGCAAATAGATTGGAATTAAACCACACAAAACCATAATCTTTTCTTCTGTTAGTATGTTTTGCCTCATTTACTCTATACTCTGAGTATAATAAAAATAATTATTAATGTATTTCAAAATTAAATTTTGTTTTGCTTTACATACCATCTTGGCAAATAAATTATTCAGGTTTAGCTAACCAAAGATGAAACTGAAGTCCTAATTAAAGCTGACTACTCATGCCATAATAATTTCATTAGTCTTTTGGGAGGGAATCTGTCCACAATGCAGGTAAAAAGTAAAACTATTTTTTTTTCCAAAAAGAAAATGCTACAAAGAAAATGATAGCTGGTGACTCAAGCTGATATGGTTTCTCTAAATTACATTTCTTCCTACCACTTGAAAATACTTCAGAAACAGATTATATCTGTAGCAGCCCTGCCATGCAAATAGTCTGACAATATGCAAGAAGTCTTCCATACCAGTTAGCTGCATTAATTACCTGTCTTGAACAAAGGCTTCCATTCCAATCTGTGGCAGGTCTAAAGACCCCTCAGCTCTTCCTTTGTCTTCGCTCTGCCATAGGAAGTCTCAAACTTTGCTTAGAAACAGTCTATAAGTGAGCTGTGCAAGATACCGCAGATCTTGGAAAACCAGATCTCCCTAGCAGCTAGCCACGTGAAATGACAGAAAATCAGGGATCAGGCTAGATGTGTAAACTTTGTCAGTTTTTTAAAACTGCAATGTGTTTTTAGTGTTGAAGAATTCAGTATTTCTCAAAATACAAAATTACCAGCTATCTCTATTTCTAGTCCAGCTTCTATGACAGAGACATAATTTCTTTGCAATTCACATTTGGAGTGCTGCTTTTGGTGGTCAGAGAGCCTCTAGTGTGCAGCCAAACATCATAAGCTACTGAAATGGTGTTTTTTAATAAGCTACCTCCTCTGCTGGCAACTACAATACTTTATCTCAGTGTGATCACATAATAGATGTGTGGTAAATGTCATAAAATTAGATGAAGCCTGTGTAAGTTGAGGTTAATACAATGACATATTTCATGCAATAACAAAAGAAAAAAAAATCTGTTTTTAGCTCTGTCATCTTTGCTTACCTAAATATTGGTTTGATACTGCTGCTGCATCTCAATCAATACTATGAAGCTATTCGACAGTTTACTAATGCCATCGAAGCTGATCCTCTCAATGTTCGAGCCTATGTGTGCAGGGCACAAGCATATCATAAGGTAATACATTCCTATTGCTTTTGTTTGCCACTTAATATTGCTTTATTTACATTTAAAATTGTGAGTATTTTAGTATTTATGCCTTGGTGTTATACAGAATTTAGAACCTGCTTATAGCTATCATTGCAAGTAGTCCTTGTCACCATAGCAGAATTACATACATCGCAATTGTAAAATATTGTTGGCATGTAATGCAATGATACAAAATATTTCAAGTGTCATTTTATCTTTTCTACATCAGTGTACATCTAATCTGAGCTTTAATAAATTTTTTGAAATATATTTCAAAATATATTTTTTAAACATATGTATTTTTAATATATAAAACCCCCAACATTTTGAAATACAGTGTTTTCTTGAGTTTTCTGGAGAATACTAATTTTCCATGAAACTCAGATTTTCTTCCCCACAAATGGGAGTGAAAACATTTACAATATTTTAATTTACTGTGAAACAGAACGTATTCTACTTCTGACTGGGATTTGAGAATACTTCCTGATAGCAGTTGTTTTTCTGAGACCCTCTCAGGAGTACAACAAATGGAGTATTCAATGTTACCTAATTTCTGTAGATTTCATTGGCAGAATTCAAACAACTGTTGTGTCTCACAGTGCTTAGTTTGTTTTAAAAATGTTTTGAGAATTTGCTTATACTGTTCATTTTCTTCCACAACTAAAGGAAATGGCTTTTAACCCAGAGTCCATCACTTGATTGATGATATTCTTTTTTTTTTGATACTGTCTTTAAGAACTTGTGCCTGATAGTTTGTACTGGAGATCATCCATGAATGTTCAGGTTGCTTTTGTAGTTTTTTTTTTTTTGTGTGTGTGTGTGTTATTTTTTAGGGGCATTCTTTTTTTTTTTTTTTTTTTTAATTTCAATGGAAAGCAGTAAAATAAAGCTCAGTACATGTGTTCTGTCAATGCTGTTCTTTAGTGAGAGTTTGAGTTAGCTCATCCCAACTGGATGAATCAGTCCTTGGGATCTTCTCTGTAGTGATCTTTCTCCTCATCATCTGAAGTACACTGAATGGGACCACATGCACAGATAGTTAAAAAATAAATGCAAATTCATTACAGCAATGAAGATTCATCCAGACATATGTGCGTGTGGATCTCATGACCTAATTTCCTTCACAACAGTCTAGACTCTATGGATTTTGGAAAAGTAAAAAAACTGCCTGGAGTTTGGATTTACCCTGTGGGAGGTTATGGAAATACATAGGGTAAATGTTTCAGACTTTTATTAAAAACATGTTGAGCTCCTTTACAGAGGGCGTATGTGCTTTGTGAGTTGTTACCATGTGGACATTGCATCCTGCAGAACCACATTTACAGAAACAGTAATTGTGTCTCCAAATTGTGTTAATGTTAGCAATTAAATTGTCTTTTTTTCTTTATAAATTACAGATTAATAATTTACCAAATGCTGTGAAGGATATAAACCGAGCCATTCATCTTTATCCAAACAAGTCACAACTTTGCATATTAAGGTAGGAAAGTATTTAGTTGAGAAATTCACCGATATCTCACTTTTTAAAAAAAATTCCATTTGGAATGTTGTTGGTAGATTCTTTTGTATTCTTTGAAACCTGCTCTGAATGGGTTTTAAAAAATGTAGTATTTTCATAATATTTTCAAACCTGAAGAATTTTATCTACATAGTGTCACCCAGCTACCATAATCTTACCTTGGAAGGAGGAACCTTGTTTTATATACAGGATTCTGCTCTTTGGGGTACATATAGTTTCTGGGGAAAAAGAAGTAAATAGGTGCCGTGACAATAAAAGCAAGTCTGAACTTTAAAAAAATTAATAATTTAAATGTTTTCCCCAAGTGGATGGGTCCTTCATTGATTTGTCTGCAGAATCCACATAATGCAAAGAAGGTAAAGGATTGAGTCCAGGCCAAGTTAGATTTAAATTATTCTTCCTCATCTTCAGCCCAGTGAAAACTAGTGACCTTTGAAAAAGGCTGAAAAATAAATTACTAGATAAAGCTATTTCCTCCCCTGAAAAGCTGTTAGAACTAAGGAGGAAATTCTAGGATATTATTCCTCAGGTGTGCTAGGAGAATTAGTTACTATGTTCCAGTCAATAACGTTGTATTTTCCCAGTTTTAAGAGTGGGTTTGCTCAGCTTATCTCTCTAGCATGACCTCTTATACTGATGCTGATATCTGAAGAGGCAAAAAATTGTCCTTGAAAACAAAATGTATCCATCAGCTATCAGTCTGTGGTGAATTTTAGAAACAGTATTATTAAGATTATTGTTGCAGTTCTTGAGATTGTAAGCATTGCTATCTATGGAATCCAAAGAAAATGTATTTTTATAACTCCTACAATCTGAGGAGAGGTAAGCATATAACTTCTTAGTACTGTGATGTGAGAGAAGAATTAAAAATCCAACATATTTCTGATGGAAGAAAAAGGAAAAACTTTGGATGTTTTTATTGGAAGGCATTATTTTTATTTTTTCTCTTTTTATACTAATGAAAATATATTTCAGGAGTATTTGCACTTTGAAAGATGCCTGGAAATAGTTTTACTAATTGCATCCAACAAATATTTCATTACAGGGGACAGTATTTAATGGAGTTGAAGAAATATGAGCTGGCAAGTTTATGTATTCACCAACTTGCAGAAATGGATGAAGGTAATGTCAATTTCCTTCAATACTGCTAGATAGTTGTGAACCATGGCAACAGTATGTAATTAAGGAATTGTTCAAAAAAATTAAGTTCAAGCTTGCAAATAGGTTAGTTACCATGAATCAGCTAAAATATAGGAACTTATTATCTAGAATATTTTGTTTGGACATCTGAAGCCTTTAAAGGTAATAATGGTCTACACTATTGTCTGTTCCATCATCTGTGATTTCAGAATTGCCTTTATCTTTTGAGTTCTTTTTTTTTTGTTTGTTTGTTTGTTTTTGTTTGGTTTTGTTTGTTTTTGTTTTACATATGTATATATTTATTTTTTTTTATTTATACCTCTCAATATTGGTAAATTCTATTTTAAAGGAATATTGAGTAAAGATTCTGTTCTGTACTTCTGTACAGTCTTTCCTAACAAAATATCAAATAGCTTTAGAACTGCATTTGAACACTAAAAATGTTGCAGTATAGTGGTTCCTTGTTATGTGCTGGGCACAAAATGGCAGTGTTCTGTGTGTCCTGAAGCTCCTGGTGAACTCAGATGAATAGCCATACTGTATGAGATTAATTTCCTGTCTCTGGTAGTGACTAAGAGTGGTTACACTGGGCACAAGAATATAGAACCAGAGCAGGCCTATGGTGGTACTTCCGCAGAGCAAAGCCTTCTTAGATGTGGGGAGAGGAAGGTAAATATTTGCAGATGTTTAGCAACCAAAGTACACTCACTGATAAGTAACTGTTCAACTACAGACTTTTTAAGGAATTCAGTTTACATTTGTATTTTTATGGATGCTAAAAGAAGCTTTGATACTCCAAATGTTTTAATTGCATTTTAAAATTTGCTTATCTTTTAAAGGTATTTTATACTGGAAAACATATAGGTTGAAGTAAAAGAGTTTATTGTTTTTCATGGTGGTTTCCTTTCAGAATCCTTTACGTCTCAGCCTGTTCAGCAAGCACTCATTCAGTCATTTTGTCAAAACCACAATAAGGCCATAGAATGCTTACATGAAGTTACTGCAACCCAACCTGAGCCTTCAATGTTTGTTATTTTAGGAAAAATACAAATGAAAGCGAAGAAGACTAAGGTTAGATCAGTTTACATTATATATATGCCAAGCAAGACAATGTTTTTCTTTCTGTATTCTTCTGATATTTTATGAAATGTGCTAATATATATATAATAAACCTTCAGAGTACCTCATTCTTTAAATTATAAGTAGACCTAAGTAAGAGTTTTCAACAACAGTAGCACTAATAGTTCAGCATAAATGAGGCAATTTTCGCTTTAAAACATTGAAGATGATAGATTAAAAAAGACAGTTATGTAGATTGAGGCCCATTATATGTCATATTTTTGCTTCTTTTGAAATAAAATCACACAAAAGTATGTCTAGTATTTTTTGGCTAATACAATGCTGTACAAGAGTTTAATTCGTGTAGGTGGACTGAATCTATAATGTATAATTACAGGTATTTTCTCACCTTCATGAACATTCATAAGCCATAGAGTTTAACCAGTACTGTCACTCCTCTGAGTCCTGCAGTTAGCCAATATTCGAGGCCTGTAGAACTGCTGAAATCAGCAGTATGGATTAGCTGGTTTTGTACAGTCCTGTTTGTTTATACAGACTGTACAGAGTCCTGTTTCCCTAAACACAACAGCAGCAAGCAACAAATAGGTTAATAAAACCTTGTATCTACTTATCTATTGAATCCTGTGTTTGAAATGCACAGTTTTTGTTTTCACTTAGCCTCTTACCTCTTAAAATAAGAGTATTTTTGAACGTAGGAATAGAGAAAAATTATTCTTAAATAGCAGTAAATGCAGACCTTTCATATTTAAAACTTGTACTACCTTGACAGTTTAGGGAGGCAGGTATAGTATTTGAACAGCCCTGTGGGCACTGGTATTTAACACTGATTTTTCTGAACAAATACTTCTTCATCTCAAAAGACTCACTTAAGAAAAAATTGCTATAATTCTTTTACTCTTAATTTTGAAACTTTCAGCTGTGGACCCTTCATAATCCTGAAAGGTTGAGGAATGTCTTATCTTAAACTGTTCTTAATTTTTTGGTTGTTTTACCTTACGCTCTCCTTTAAACCAAAGCATTATTAAATATGCATAAATTATCATCCAGGTCTATGAGACATGGCTATTCACTTAAGTTCTTTCAGTGCCTATAGAGGATTGATCCTTTCAATATGTTTTTTTAATGGTCATTAAATTTAGCAAATCGTCTATGGAATAAACAGTTTGTCATTACTTACATAAAGAAACCTGTTGAAAATACTTCATTATCATCAGACTCCATCAAAAGGTATACTTTTTCTTCCCAAGGAATTAAATAGGAGTAAAATTAATAAAAAATTATAATTAACTATGTTTCTAAATAACAGTAAAAATTAACTCTATGTTATTTATAGATCATGTACATTAGCTACTTTGTCATATATGAATAAAACTCAGGAATATTTCTCTGCTTTTCTAACCAGTTATTAATATGAACCATTCAGAAATCAAGTGTGTCTAACTCCAGCACAACAAGGAAGATTAAACTAGTCATTTTTACCACAATGTTCCAAAAAGAAAGAAAAAAATACTTTAAAATATCTAAGAGATCTTGTAGATTTTCAGTTAAGTGCTTTACAACTATTAGCACTCTCTGCATTGCAGGATGCTGTGAGAAGTTTTAAAGAAGCTATGAAGCTCCTGATGACATCAGAAAAAATCCTGCCTAATACCTTTGAGGCTGCAGAAATGTATTATCTCACAGGCTTGTGTCACATGGAGCAAAAAATGTTATTACGGGTTGGTATTAATAGAATATATTAGCCTTTGACTCTACTGCATGTAAACAACAACTATGATAACTGAGTGAAAGATTTCAATATTTTAAACAGCCTCCACTGCCTTTAGTAATTTTCTTGTGAATTCCTGATGTACATTAGACTGTCTTGCAAGTTTGTGAGTAATTTTTCCAGTGCTAACGTTGTGATTTTTTTTAATGTAAGTCATTAATTGCTATTCTGATGAAATAAAAAACAACATTAATTTCTTATCTGTTATGGAGTTTTTTGTAATTTGTTAACTGGTTTCTATATTACTGTAACTCATAAAACCCCTAGCTGGTCCTCTTTGGCATTTATGTATGATATTTTAAAAATAAACTGCATTACCTAAGAAAAAATGTATTTCCCTTCTTTCAACAAGATCAATGCTTTTAACTGTATTAGAGATTTTTTTATTGAAAACTATTGAAAGCCTATTAGTGAGTTTTGTGACAGGCCTCATGTGAGTTGATGCAAATGTTTTCTATGTTGATATTTTAACAAACATGTTTCGGTTGCCAATTTGCTAAAAGGCTCAAGATAGAAACTAGAAACATTTGAAATATTAGAATTTCACAGGGAAGGGAAGGGAAAGATCTCTTGCCTTCAGTGCTTCCAACCGTATTTGTCAAAAGTGATATTCTTTTGGAAGAAGTCTGTCAAAATTGCCTGAAATACCCAATGTAGTAATACATGACAATTGCAAAATGTGAATTTCTGTGTTAATATACTTCTTATATTACAGCTGTAGATCCTGGAAACACCTATGATTTGTAAGCTAATGTATTATGATGTAGAAGAAAAAACTATCTGGATGGATTTTAAATGAATTGTGTACTATCCATGTTAATTCATTTTCCATTATAATAAACAACTTCACTATTTCATCTCTTACAGACAGAAGACCATGTGCTTGGTTAAATTTTGAGGTCTCACTGGAGAAATTAAATTATTAAATGAATTAGATTGTGCCTCCTTGAGGTTATGATTGCATTAGTTAGGGTGTTAAACATTGCAAAATTTTAAATAGCAGTAAATAGATGCAAGTGATAAAAAAACAATGCAGGTACACATGGTGGGTTCCAACTGCAAAAATAGGTCATACCTAGCTGTACAAAAGAATCAGTTAGCCTATGATTTCAGATGAACAAACAGACCATATTTAACCCAGATGATATGTCATCCTTTCAGGCCCGTGATGCTTTTAGTACGGCTATCAGACTACATTCAAGTTACCCTGATGCTTTTTATCAGCGAGGGCTATGTAGAATGCAACTCAGACAAGCTAAGTGCATCCGAGATTTCAATCGAGCACTTGCCCTTTGCCCATCACATTTCCAGGTAATATAAAGCTTCCTGATAGTTTGTTTCTGTCAGGCATTTTTGTATGGGTTCAAAGACTAGTAGGTTTTGCATTTACAGGTGCATTGCCTTGTAATCTGCCAGCAAGCACATGGCAAATGTTAAAAAAAATATATTACAGGCTTCGTAAGATGTATGTTTTTATAAACTTGTAATTTATGTCTTCTATTTGACCCTTGTTTTATATTGCTAAACAAAGCTGGTTTTGTTTTAATGTATCATCATTTTATCTTCATCTCTACAGGCATATATGGGTCGTGCTGCTTACTATGGAAGTAAAGGTAGATACTCTAAGGCAATTCTGAATTGCAATGAGGCGCTCAAAATTCTTCCTAACAGTGTACAAGCTTATTTTTACCGAGGAACTTTAAAATATCAAAATAAGGTAGGACTGCCTTTATTGTTATACTTTTGCATTCTTCCTTAAAACCTAATGTATCTTACTTGACGCTAAAATAGTGAAATAATGGTAAAAGTGTTTCTAATGGGAACCAGGAGTTCCACTTGATTATTGTACTTTCCATTCCCCATTGAAGCTGCTCTCTGGTTGTTCTATATAACTGAAAATGATTGATGGGTTATAGAAGCTACTGAGCATCTGTCTGGTTATTCCTAAATTCCACAGAATAGATTCTTACCTAGTGATAGACAGAAGTACCAATATTCCACAAAAGAAGTGTAAGCTAGTTAAATTAAGAATTGATTATGTATTGCAATATATAGATGTGCTATAAGAAAACACTAAGAATGTTTGTTTGCCCAGTCTTTGCACAAATAGAGCTTCTGAAGGAGTGCTCCCGCTGCAGTAAGGACTGGAGTAAGTAGCCCACGGAGGACATAGTGAAGTGATTCGTTGCCTTCCAGTACTGATGAAGAAACAAAATGTAAAACTATGAAACAAAAATTTAAAATAGGCTATTATTTGAGGAAGAATATGTAGTGCCATGAACTCTGAATTAAAATTCATACATAGTGTTTTTTCATTTGCAGACATTTAAAGCTGCAGTTGAAGATCTTTCAAAAACAATTGACCTCAACAAAACCTGCATTTTGGCATATTATAACAGAGCCATCTGTTATCATCAAATACAGGACTTCAGAAAGGTATGGTATTAATTATTTTCCAGCATCACATGAGCACTCCATTTTTCATATTAGCAAGTAAACTGTTATTGACAATTAGACAAAATTTCTGACCTCTTGCAATGTCTTCCCGAGTGTCTTGCAATGTCTTCTCTTCAGGAAATTGTTTTAAATAAATGGTTTTTTGGTCTCTACTATTGTATTAATTATCTTTGATATCCCTTTGAAAATGTAAGACTTATAGCCAGAAGAAAAAGAAAACTACACCAAAGCAGGGATTTGGACTACATCCAACCCTCATTCATAGCCCTATTTTTCTGGATGTGTTTATACGTCTGTCAAGTTCCTTGTATGCTGCCTCTGACTGTTTCTGCTTGCTACCTGTGTTATAAAGGAAAGGCAAAACAAGGCACACAAAGGTACCATGCAGCTTCAGATTGGGAACAGAATGATGTTGAACTGTCTTTTTGACGAGGCGTGTTTTCTGAGACAGGGCTAGTTCCCAAGTATTTGGGCTCAGATGTCTCAAGTCAAATCAACCTTGGGCAAAGACCATTTGTACTTTTAGAGGTTGATTGGCCAAGAATCATTCAGATGGGTAAAGAAAAATAAGTGATTACAGTAACTGAAGGTAAAAGTTTAAGATGTCAAAATGATAGTTCCTTCATAAAGAAGGTATTATAAAAATTGTTCTTTGCTGTCACTCTCCAAAAAGCCACTTAGTGCAAGGGAAGTTGCAGAAAAAATGTAGCAGATCATTGGTGGAAGAAATTTACTATCTAACAAGAACTGGATTGTTTTCTTTAAAGCTGTTTCTAACTTCTAGCTTAGTTTAGAAGTGACAGAGTAGAACTTAAGTGGCTAGTATATGGAATACTGCAACCAAGGACATTCTTTGTCATATTAGCTCTAAACTGCTTATTCTTAAGTATACTATATATGTTAATTCTTCAGGTGAAAAAAGAGTTGGGCTACAATTTCTTCAGATCAACCATTGTTGAAATACTGTTCAGTTCTGATAAATTTGAGAATTGAGGTTTCTTCAGTCTACCTACTCATGTCATTATTTGTTCTTTTACAAAATTTATGCTCAAATTTAGTTAATACAACTAGTGCTTAGATTTTTCAGTAACAATAAAATATATTTAAAGATACTTAATTTTGAAAGTACCTTATTTTGACATTAATTTATGGTTTATTAATCTGGAATAATTTGTTGGGCTTGTTTTAATAAGAATTTGGACATAAAATTTAGCAGTAGAAGTAATTAAGATTTACTTCTAACTATGAAATTTCAGTAATGACAAAATAAGTTTTAATTATGTCTATTTAATATATTTGCATTATATTTGCTTCTGTGCTCTGGAAATGGATATCTATGGAATTACAGAAGGGTCCAAATTCAGTTAAAATCAATCTTGGAACAGTGAAACATTGGAATAGCCACACTGAAGTCTCCATCTGCACATGATTTGTAGCAGTTTGAAAGAGCGTCTTTTAAATTTTGAAGCATCATTGTATCCCTCTGAATAAACTATGGTTTAAAATACACTTTATGTTTTTGTAGGCTTTGAAAGATTATGGAATTCTTCTTCTGCTTGAACTGAGTAATGAAATAGCTTTTAAAGTGTTAATCAATCGTGGACTACTCCACTTGGAACTTTGTGATTATGCTAATGCATGTGAGGTACAAAATCCTTCTTTGAGTAAAGGAAATGTAGAGTTTTCTGTTAAATGTAAGCCATTGCTGATATAAAGACCAGCTTAACAGTTTTATATTCTTCTGACATAGTTTGTACCCAGTTCTCATTTGCTCAACATCTAATACTTGTCTGGCTGTGAAGATGGAAATAAAATACAGTTTTACTTGGTTTACAATTTTATGCTGCTAGAGTTAAACATGGGAGTTGCACAAAATTTAATAAGCTAGAACCTGTTTTTTCCTTATTTTTGAATATTGAAGTAATTTATGTTCGGTCTAAATGAGTATTAGTTCTTTGCAGAAGCCTAAGTAAATGGAGGTTCTGATTGAGGGGACATATTTTGTTCCTCTGTGTGTGTATGTTTGCATGTGTGTGTACATGACCATTTTTGTTGAAAGGGCAGGAAGAATTTGACCTCAAGATAATTTTCTTAAATATAAGAATGGTATGTGTTTCTGACACTGACTCACAGCGCAGATGACTCTTTCCATGGGAGTCCAACTGGTATAGCGACAGCAGGCTTCAAGCCTAAGTGTTAAACATCATCCTTTCACAAACATGGGTGTTTATTTTTGAATTTTATATATTCTTTAAGTTTCCTAAAAGTTTTTTTTTTTTTTTTTTTTTTTAAGCAGAGGTATTTATTTTCAGTATAACTGATGGATTCATTGCTTCCATTGTGAACTAGTAATTTTAGAGTGTGGTATCTTCATTATGCAATAGCAACAATTTCAACATATGCATTCTAAAAATTGAGTAGTATTTCTTATTTGCAAATAGAAAATGTAGAATGAATATGAATTCATTTCCAGTCACCCAGAAATGTCTTATTGGAAGTGCACAACAAAAGCTTTTTACAGTTGGGAGACCTTGCATAGAAATAATTGAAGTAGAAATACTGTGTTATTGGTCTCTTATGCTTCAAGATGCAGTTGATCAGAATAGTTCAAAAAAGTGGCTGAGGTGTTACAAACTGATATGTGAGGCCAGTAGAAAGAGACAGGGGCAGAACCAGCAGGATGAGCAAAGTTCTTTGAATGGATTGTAAAGAAGACAAGTTTACAAAATGATAATTGACCAAAAGACACAAAAATATAACAGCTAATTTAGGAAAAACATCAGTGATTATAAATATGCTTGAGATCTTATGTATCAGTTCTGGTAATCTTTTATTGCGAGGAGCATATCTGTATACATGTATAGTGCTGGTTGAATTAGGATATAATTACTTAAGCACAGATGCACACTACTTGAAATGGGTGTATTCCTGAATTAGATACACTGGTAGAAAAAGGAAAAGTAACAATTCAGTCTATATAAGATCTGAATTGCTATTTAGAGGTGTCTTTTCCTGTTGATCCTCTGAAGTGTGTGGTGACCTGTGAGGATAACATCTTTGGTTTAAGGAAGCCAAACCTGGTCCTTGGAACTTTGATCCTGGTTTTGCTCTGATTCATACACAGATCAGAATGTATATTCCAAATTGTGCACGTGAAGAATCCCATTAACTTTGCCAGGTATTCTTTTAAAGGCTTTGCTGAATGGGAGCAGTACATCTTAGTAGTTTTTTAAAAACAGACATAATTTTATGATAGTGTGTTTACCAAAAGAAAGGTTTTATTTGAACAAAATATAAGTATATATATTTTCAGATCTTTATTTTGCCACTTTTGTAACTCCAACAGTATTAAAATCTTCAACATCTTTTTATTTTCACAATTTGAACAAATAAAAAATGCTTTCTAAATTGTGGTCTAGGTTGCATTTATTGAAATTGTATATAGAAAAATATATTTTCAATATATATGTATTTAAAAATAGCAGCTAAGGAACAGTATTTCTATTAAAAGCAAACAAAAAATACCTTTCTGGAAGTCTTTGTTTCTGAAAATGATGCCTCCAGCTTTGTAGAAATACCGATACCACATAATGTCATAGATTTTATTCTACCAAAGTTTGGGACAAAAAGCACGAAAACAGCTAAATACATCTCCAGTACTTCTGAACGCATAATGCCTTTGTCAGAAGTCATCTCCTTTTTCATGTAAAAAACACAGTTGTAGGTTAAGTGAAACAATATCAATTTGCAGGGTTTTATGTCTGTTCTTTTCAGGACTTTAAAGAAGCAACGTTGCTTAGTCCAGATGATAGCCAGATCTTTCAAGCTATTGGAATCTGCTATCATAGGTAAGATATATAGTTTTGTTTGATGTAGAACAGAAAAATTAAATAATTCCTGAGCTTTATATTCCTGTTCATCTTTTTATCTTGAGTGGACTGAGAACTGGGGGAGGTTAAAATGGCAAAGAGGAATGGAAAAAAAGAAAATTAGATATTTTTCAAGTTTAACAACTGGCATTAAAATCTTCTAGTATCAAGCAACTATGTGTTCATGACAGCATCTGGAGGAAGTACTAGGATGGTAAAATAGAATGAAGAGAAGGACTGAAGAACAAAGAATTATGAGATAAACGAGTTGGGTTAGTTTGTTCAGAATTAGTTAGCATGCAATTTCTGTTTAAATATGTACTTTGTCCTTTAAGAAAAGCAAAACCCTCAATAGTCTTCCTTGCCTAAATTTTTTATTTGGAAATTCTAAAGTGTAGTTTCGTCAAGGTGAGATTTATTTAGAATGACTAATTAAACCTGTTATGCACTTAAAATATATATAAATTGGAAGAATTAAGATGTACATTAGAATCTTTGTCTACTTATCGTAGTGGCACTTGGAGTTGATAGCTCCTATTTCACACAACACCTATGATAAAAAGGAAATTTTAATAGCTATCTGCCTATTTGTTTAGTATAATCTATTTTGTTCTACAGTTACTCTGCCATCTATCACTGCTTAACCTTGTTTTGGCTGAGGCAGTATGGAGGTGGACATATTCAGGACTGTAGCATTAAATCTTGTGTTACTGTGCCTGTAGTTAGGGCATAACTGGCCCCGTCTTTCACAGTGTCTGGATGATGTAGAACTCACACAGGAATGCTGAATCCTGCTTCTAAGAACAGAGCATATGATTTTGGTGCCCATGTCTGTATTTAACTGTCAAATAACTGGTATGGAACCTGTTTTAAATGCATTTGGGATCCATCCTGCAGTCTCTAACCTCATGACTGCCCATCAACAGGATTGGAATGAAGCCCTAGTTTGCTTTTGCAATAAGAGTGCTTTTAACAAGCATTTGGTTTACAACTGTTAAGGTTATTTCTTAGCTAAATATATTTAATCTTTCCTCTGTTGGTAAAGAGGCCAGGCTGTGCTACAGGTAGACACAGGTAGCTTATATTCACACAATATCTTTCCAGATCATCTTTGTAAAATGGTTTTGTCCTTTGGCATGTTAAAGTTTTTACTTTATATGTAAAGAGGCTTACTGGCATTCATTGACATTTAGGTATTCAATCCTTTTTATTCCTACTCATTATACCTCAGATGTATCAAGTTTTATCAAAAGATGGAGTTCCACACTTGGCTTACTATGCCTAGAACCCTGAATATTTTCACTTTTTATCCTGAAAGTGTAGCATATTTTGGATAAGTTAAAGAATTTAAGAATACGCTTGGACAGTATTAATGATACAATCTCTCAGTTGAGTACAACTGTCAAAAAGGTGAAACCTTGGCCAAGCAAAAATTAACAGGAGTTTTGCTTTTTTCTTGCTCAGGCCAAGGAGTTCAAATTGAAGTATGCAAGGCTTTACATTGACTACCCTCAGTGTTATAACCATCAGAAAGCAAACAAGGAAAAAAAATGTCCCTCTCAGTCAGAGTTGAACTACCTTCAATGGGCATTATAGGGTAGTATTTGCTGATCATTCATAAATTGAGAATTTTATTTATATACTTTTAAAACAGAAAACACTAATATCTCTATTTTTAGACTTCATGAATTTGAAGAAGCTGTGAGATCATTTGACCAGGTTCTCAAACTAGATCCTCTTTCTGTGGATGCCTACATTGGACGAGGAAATTCGTACATGGAAAATGGACATGAGGCTGGTTGTAAACAGGCACAGAAGGATTTCTTGAGAGCAATTCACCTGAATCCAAAGTGTATAAAAGCCAGAATTTGCTTAGGATACAACTTGCAGGTAACACACCGCAATTATTTGTCAATGCCATGTTTAATCAAACAAAATAACTTCAGTCTTACATGCATACATTTATATAATAAATAAAAAAATAATAAAATAATCCATGTACTTTAGACAAGCCTTATGGCATCTTCTGTCTTTTTAAGTAAACGGATAGACGGATAGACCATTATTTTCTTTTCAGTTTTGTGCCCAGTCTTGTTGGAGTTCTGCTCTTGAATAATGAAATACCAAGTAGCCTTACACTCGTTTGATTTGCATACATGGTTCTCTGGTAAAATAACATTAAGAATTGTCATGTTTTGTCTATATGAGCTGTTTACTGAAGTAAAAAGCAGCCAAAGCATTGACAAATCTGCTTAAACCAAAATCTTGTATGTCCTAATTATCCAGACTACACTGCTAGCAAATTTGCTAAAATCCCTTGATAAAGACCTTATATATAATTATCTCTGAAAACCACTTTGCTACATAGAAAATGAACTTCTATATCAGCAAAGACTATGATATGACTTGACAGTTTTTGTCTGTGTCTAATTTCTGTCATTTAGTTACTATGCTTTATTATATCCAGTTATCTGAAATGTCTTGAATTGTCATGAATCTTGTTGTGAATTATTTTTTGCCAATGTAAACAAGGGACTAATGTTAGTAGCATGTGTCAGGTAGTCTTGCATAGGTGTCATGCAAATTTCCTTTTACAGCTTTGCCAATTCACTTAAATTCTAAATAATGCTTTCACAGTGCTTTGGGAAGTACTGTGCAAGAGAAAAAACAGGAGTGACTATGTTGGTGAGTAGGTAGGAACAGGATGTAGGTAGGAATTAGACATCTTAGGTGCAGGAGGCAACCCAGGAAGTTCGCATAGTGGCAGGTACTTCATTTCTGGGAGGCCTAAATCTCATTAGATACCTTCTATTAAGCCTTATTATACCATTTGTGGCTTAAACATAGAGACATGTGGAGAAGTATCACTGAAATACAGGAAATTCCACTTAAACATCAGAATTTTTTTTTTTTTTTTTTAACTGTGAGGATGATCAAACACCGGAACAGATTGAGCATTAAAACCTGATTGAGTATTAAAAATCTAACTGTACATGGTCCTGGGCAACCTGGTCCAGCTGACCCTGCTTTGAGCAGGGGCTTGGCCTAGATGACCTCCAGAGATCCTTTTCAAACTCAACCATTCTGTAATTCTATGATGTAGAAGAGGTAATACTTGCAGTTTAAACAGTTGTGACAGATAAATTACATAGTTACAAAGACAATGAATATTGCATAATTAATAAGATATTTGAAAAGTAACAAGATATTTAAATATTTTTTTCTGTAATTTAGTTAACTGCATTTGTAAATATAAGTATGCTTCCATTCTCTGCTGTAATTTTTCAACTGGGACCATTAGTATGTTTGGCATTTCTTATGTTTCTTATTGTGGACACAGTGCAATTCCTTTTAGGCCCTTGGAAAACTTCAGAGAGCATGGAGACAATTTACAGTTGCCATTTGCATTGATCCAAAATGCCATGCTGCATATGATGGACGAGCTTCAGTCTGTCTTCAAATGGGTGATACTTTTGCTGCATTTCAAGATACAAATGTCGCAATAAAGGTAGATCTTAGCTTAAAGTGACTTTACTAAAATCAACCTGTTGCTATGAAGCCAGCCAATACTGTACATTAATAGTTGCCAATTTGGATTAGAAGGTGCAACTTTTTTTTTTTTTTTAAAAAGTAAACATATCTTGGAAAACCAGAATAAATTACTGTAGAAGTGTAAATTTTCCCTGATTAAGAATGCATCTATATTTTTGTTTCAGCTCACTACCACTGCTCGACTGCTAACAAATCGGGGTGTCATCAATGAGTTAATGGGATATCTACCCTGTGCCATGAAAGACTATCAAGAAGCAATTTCTGTTGACCCAAACTATGCATTAGCCTATTTCAATGCAGCAAATATCTACTTCCATAATCGACAGTTTTCACAGGTAAGTCTACAGTCTGTCTTTATACAATCTTCAGAACTTTCTTCCTTGAATAAGTATTGTTGGTATAAAACTGTCTTTATGTTTAATTAACATGAAGCTTTCTTACATTGAATTTCATGGTCCTAAACCAGGGGATGAATTAATCTGTAGGAATTAATAACAAATAATTGCCCTACTACTATGTATTTTATCATTGGTATAAATGAACTAAGATTCATGACAGCTAGGATACATATCACAAAAATTTGTAAGTAATTGAGATACTGAACATCAGTGGGATTTTGGTAACTGCCCCCCCCGCCCAACTCCCATACATTAACTTGCCGAGATTCACTATAGCACCATGACAAGGAAAATCAAAAGAATCTCCTGCTAATGAACTTCAATCAAGTCAGCTCTTCCTCCTGATACCACAGTAACTTTGGAGTTTTAAATCACCTAATTCTGCTTAAATACAACGGGTGTCTTCAAATACAAAAGTGTTGGGTACTGAAATTCTGCTTGTGAGAGAATTTGAAATCTGCCTGAAGGCAAGGATGTTTATTTTTCTCTGTGAGGAAGCCCTTGCAATGATTTTTCCTTTGGTCTTCCAGTCACATTTCCCGGACATAGGCTCAGGTTTTTATTTGATTAGAACTTTGTGGTCCAGCAGCTGTGGAAACCCAGAATCAGCATGGATGCTTCAGCACATTTCATCTATTTGAATTAATTCTCTCCTAGAATTGCAACTGTAAACACTTCATCTTGCAGTTCATTTATTAAGAAAATCATCATGTATAATACAGGCTTGGCATACAATTTTAAACCTAGTTTGTACTTCATGCAGCACAAAAAATAGATCATGTAAGAAAAAAATTCAGTGCTCTTGTATGTTTCTGAGTTAAATTCCTTGTTACTGCTTATGCATTAGTTAGACTTGGATCAGAAATTCCTTGAGTCCTAGGTCAGTGCCCTGCATATAGCTGCTTCTGCGATCATGCAACCTCTTTTCTTAAGCATCTGGTATCATCCTTCCATGACTGGTCTTGAATAGGTTGTTCTGCCTTTTTACTGTGTTTTTGCATCTCCTTACTGTCTCACAGAGAATGTCTAGTTATGAAGAAAGAAGTTCAAGAATAGGTGTTGCATTATAAACTATTCTCTATGATAATTCAAATTGACTTTAGTGTATAGCTTATTTCTTCTGATATAATTACAATTCAGCATAAACAGCTGTTATTTTTCAAAAGTCTGTCTGGGTGCTGATTGACCTATTTGTGGATAAAAATGCTGGTGCTGTGTCTCTCTTTTCTGTGCACAAAGAATGCAGAACAGAACAAGCAAAGACATAAGAATACTAACATCTTAAAGTAACAAATTGGAATTTACAAGCTGTACACAAGCCAGTTCCTCAAAATTTAACAGTGTACTTTGTCTCTAATTCATGTGTTTATTAGGCCTATTGCTACTATTCCAAGGTATTACAACTTGACGCAAAAAATGAATCTGCTGTTATGAATCGTGCTATTACAAATATGTTACTAAACAATATTGAAGAAGCAAAAGAAGACTTTGAGAAGGCAATTTGTCTCTGCCCATCCTCTGCAGCAGTGTATTTTAACAGGGCAAATTTATATAACAGATTGAAGCAATATGAACTAGCTGAGAAAGACATTTCAACAGGTACTCTTTATTTACCTGTCATGATTATGTTTGGTAGTATACTCAAGCTATGATTCAGAAAGTATGCGTGCAGTTTTGCTAGTATATTTTCTACCTAATTTGATTAGACATTATGATGTGATTAAAAAGAGGAAATTAAAGTAAGCATGCTTATTAATTGTGTTTTTTTTCTATTCTCAAAATTGAAAGAATATGAAAATTAGAAGATAAACTGTTTCATATAACAGCCGAACAGAGCCCTTTTCTAAATGAAATTGTGGCAAGAAGTTACAGGAAAATACTATACTCACCAAGTCTGAAAATCTTTTGAGTTTTTTTTGTGTGTGTGTGTGTTGAGATATCTAGGTGCTTAGAAAATGGCAATCAGGTAGCTTATTTTATATATGAATATGAAGTCTAATGAATGTGCTCTTTGTAGAACAAGATTTGAAACAATATGTGGCTTCTGTTGGGAACAGACATAGTTCATAGAGAAGAAGAACTGAATAAAACTTTCCAGTTGATCTTAGTGAAAACCAGACCTTTTGTTCAGGTTCAAAACAGCTTAGCTATATTACTCTATTGCTGCTTTTGTCAGTGCTACTAACATGACAGTCAGCAACTCTGGACACACAGGCAAACTTCTTCCAGTAACTAGAGCTATATTTAGTTTGTATTAATTTTATTGAAACAAAATTTAGTATTGTGACTTTGATTTGATAACACTTAATTGCACAGGTAATGATCTTTCCTGAAAGGATAAATCTCTTTAGGTATTTTTTTGTTGTTGCTGTTTTGTTTGTTTGTTTTATTGTTTGTTTGTGTTTTAATTAATTTACTTTTATAGTGGAATTTGTCAAAATAGTGTTTTTACTTAATGGCTTGCATTACTGATGTTTTCATAATGCTAGATGGTGAAAATTGACTGGACCAAGTAGCTGATTGATTTTCAAAAGAATTTTCTTTCTAAAGGAGAGTTTTAAAACAGCAGATTAAGCTTTCCAACAAGTACCTAAATCCTTTTTATACAATGGAGAAACTGAATAAGATACTGGGTTCATTTCCATGTTCCAGAAGTTGAATGGTGGTGGTTTTTTTCTCTAAGTTTTGCTTATGTTTCAGAGAAAAACATAGTTTCTGCTGTTGCAGCAAAATTAAATTTGGATTCATAAATGGCCTCAAAAAGAGAAAAAAAATCTGAAGTATAAATAATATAAAAAAGTTGCTTACCTCCCAATATAAAGTTAAAATATGTAATATGTTTACTCTTGTGAAAGCATGTCTGGAGAAGAATATGAGCACTGACAAAAGTTTTTGAATGATGCTTTTCTTTATAGTCATGTGATGTTGAAAAAAAAGCCTAACATTCTATTCCTTATTTTTACAGCATTGTCAATTCAGCCTAATGATGCCTTGATGTATAAATTTAGAGCTGATATTCGTGATAAATTGGGTTTCAGTAAAGAGGCTGTAGAAGACTACAAACAAGCAATCAGCATGGAAGAACAAATTGATTCCATGTGAAAAGATACCAATTCTCATAGCACTTGGGTTCTACTTACAGATTCCTCAGACCTCTAATTAAAAAAATCCAACATGCTAGAAAAGTTTATAACTTATCTTCATTTTTATATATTATACACACATTTTGTTCTCCTAAATAATTACCTTGATTGTGCAAAACTAGCTAGAGTTATTTAAGAATAGAATGCCACATTTAATTTTTATGAGTTATCGATTGGTCTTTATTTGTTAGTGTCAAAATATATTTGATTGTGTTGTGACAGAGAAGAGGATTTTATAGGCAAAAGACCTCAACTATATTGGTTATAGAAGGATAAAAAGAAACAACAGTCTCCCTTCCTCCCCAAATATAAATGCTTACAGTGATGCTAATTATATGTCACCTGGGCCACCTGGGAAATGAAAATATTAAGATGGCTACCAAATCCTTGTGACTGCTAACTAGGTCTCATTTTCTTCCTGATCTTCCTTCTATACCTCCTCATAAGGTTTGCTATTCCCTGTCGCTCACATTTGGTAAGGAAAAGCCATTATGCAAGGTCCATCTCTTGCACTGTGTGAGAACTACTCTGTGAACTGAAATTTGAGGAGGACATGATTCAGTTTGTGAGTAAGAAGCTGAGGTTACTTGCTTCCACTTAAATATATTACACTGTGCCAGCTTGAAGAGACAGGTAAAAATGCATAAATAGATCATACTTCTGTGTTCTAAGCTGTAAAAATGGGTTTAAGAACAGGCTCTCACCTAAACATGGAGATTGAATTGTGAAGCTATGTGACCAAAATTTAGTAAGTGTCAGGTCCTACCCATGTACTAAAATGAAACCCCCAAGTTTGGCATAGTATGGTGATGATAGCAAAAAGACAAAGCAAAACAGATGTCTCTATCTCAGAAAAAGAAGGAATGTTAAGGTCTTATTCAGCATGTAAGCAGTCCTGTGGTTCCAGACAGTGGAAAGATTTCTAAAGGCACAAATGACACTTCAGTGCATAATCCCAGTGGTATGGGAATTGTATGTGTAATTTAAATTTAGGTTTAGATGTAAAATGTTACCAATTTTCCTCTTGAAAAAGGGCAAAAGGAAAAGATGAGAGGGACCTTAGACCTAACACATGCTGATATGTGCCTGTAATTACCCAATGTTGCCTATGTGGAATAATCCCTAGACAATAGAGAATAACTCAGAATAAAAAAAAAATTTAAATGATCTAATATATATAAACTTAGTATTATAGAGTTACATAAGTCCATTTAACTTTATAACTGACTTTTTTTGGTACTCCTGGAGTTAAGTGTTTTTTTTGGTTTATGTGATATTGAGATGAAAGTAAATAATGTTGTCATTGCTTTGTCTCAAAGGATTGCATTTTATTTTATTTACTTGACACATTACTATATGCTATTTTTCTAAAAACATCTGTTCTTGCATACCTATGCAATGTAAATTTAGTCAATGTGATAGACAGTGGCTGAAATTCTAGCTTTATTCTGGTATCTAAATTTTTGCATTGGTAATATCACATTACACTGTCAAAATTCCTATGCTTCTCACTTTGATATCTGAGTTGAAAAAAAAAAAAAGTACTGTGTAAAGGAAATTCAGAGTATCACAGCTAAGAGCAATTAAGTTAGTAAAGCATTTGACTCCATCTCTATGCTCCTTGACTATTCTCCTGTTGTTTAATATCTAGCATGATAAGACTTCACATTTGCAAGAACTGTGGTGATAAGGTTGACTGGATTAGATGCGTCATAGTTAACATGTATAAAATTTAAAATAAGTTCAAATATTCTGTATTTAATTTTTGTTTATTCATGATTAGTGTCTCATGTTTAAAAATTAATGTTTATAGATAAAAACAATAAATGAAAATATTTCTAAATGTCCTAGTATTATACATTATAACATTATTTACTAGAAATCTATCTGGAATGACAGTTTTTCTAAAAATTAAATTAAAGTATTTGACCATGGAATGATCAAAATCCAATTTCTGCTTTTTTTTTCTGCTTCTTCTGTTCTCCAATAATTTGAAATATCCATTGCTAGTAGTAGCTTTTAGAAGTATTAATTTTATGACACTACAATAAAAAAAACCTTGGTAGACTGCAACACACAATAGGGAGAAATTCTTTGTGACTACTACAGAATTCAAGAATCAGAATAACTATGTCAGGTGTGATAGCATTGTAGCTACATGTTTCTGTAAAGAGTTTTACTCTTCAGAGGTTTTGCTTTAGTGACTTTAGTGTTGACAGTTGCTAAAGCTAAGTTTGTGAAGTCCAAGTTGATTGAATGATTATTTACAGCTTTTTCCCTCTTCCTCTTTTTTCTTATTTATCTTATTTATTCTTGTGGCAGCATTATCTACCCAAGTGGATCAAGTGTAATATACAAACTATAAACATACGTGTGTCTGTATTTCCGTGCATGATTATTACGGTTGTTGATGCAAATTGGGGAATTATTTCTAGTTTTCTATATGCACAGAAAGTTGAAGTTTGCTTGCAAGATGGTGTTGGTGGTATTTTTGTTCCCTTTCTCCTTTTCCACATGCCTCTTTCAGTGCTCTTTTTTTATTGCCTGAAGAATTGTTTATTGATGAAATTGATAAATTATGCATGATTCTATGGCCTTTTCCTTTCTTTGACCTCTTTATGAATTACTTGCTGATGGGTTGTGAGATAGTGGTACCCTCATCATGTATAGTGCATCATCAAACTTAAATCAGAATGAAGAGAGGTCAAACCTTTCCCCTGGATCCTTTTCTTATAGGTTTTCTGTAGATATTCACTGTAGATTTTCTTTAGTTTAACCTATCTTGCACGTCAAAGAGAAATGGACACTTAAAAGAGTTTTATCTTCACATTTAAAAACTGAAACCAGATGCAATCAGTTACGACTCTCTATTGATAGAGTGACTTGACTTAAATAATATGGGCTATTGTAATCTCTTTTTTGCTTGTAATTTTTTTTATTATTATTATTCTGGATGGTGTAGATCTATTTTTTTTAATCCTTAAAAGCTGAATATTTATTCATTCTATGACTGGCTGTGTGGAGTTAAATTTTTAGAGCTTTTATCTATTACACAATGCTTTAGAATCACTCTCATTCACAATTTAGGGACCATGTTAGATATATTTTAAAGAAAATGGGAAGTGGATAGAGAATTTATTTGCCCAATAGAACATGAAAATTTCAAGTTGAATGATCGAAACTTACTGCATTTGAAAAACAGTTTATCAGCTCCTCCTTTTATTTAAATCTTTCATTTAAATTTCCTTTCTGACCTAAGAGAAATTTTATATTTTCTAAAGGTTTTTAAAAGTAGATGTAAATATTTTGTATAATAGCACTTCTTTCATGTCTCTTTTTTACAAAATAGCTTGAGTCATTAGTGACTCTAAGAATCACTGTTCCACTAATAAATTGCAATTGTATTTTGCAGGCTGAAGAGTAGGACTTGATCTTCCCTTTTGGTAGGGACTATGGTAGGTTTATGGCATTCTGAATTTTGTCCAACCCAGTATGGGACAGGTGTCAAACTCTGAGGTTACTTTCATTGCTAACAACAGATCCAGTACATTTTCTTACTGGGGATTATGAAAATGATTTTGCTTCACAAATGCAGTTTAAGAGAAGCTCTCGTCCCTTGCTTTGTGATGGTATTAGTTCTTTTTGGATTTAAAATCTAATAATCTGATAAATCTTCATTTATTTAATTTCATTTCCTTTTATTTCTCTTTTTCTAGAAAATGTTTTGATAGTCTGTAGTTAAAAAACAAAACAAAACAAACCAGAGTTACTAAGGAACCTCAGTTGCATTCAGGTTTTTCTTCCCTCTTTAAAATACTGATAATACATGTATTACTGGGAAACAGGTAATATTGGTTGATTAATAGAGAATGCAGTGGGTGTCTTGTTTTTAAAAAAAGGACCAAAGAAAATATTTCCATTTGAAGCCCAATAAGGGAATAGGAAGTTATCAATAATCCTTCACAGAATAGTAAATTACATACATAAATCTATCAACTGAATGTTAAAGCATTTTCTTTTAATATTTTATAATTTAGACTTTTTGAATGGAATACACTACCAAAATGATGATGAAGGGAACTTTTGTTACCTTCATTGAAAACCAAAGGAATGTGGTACTTTTTGAAATAAAGTGGGGAAGCTAGTTTACTCACAAGTTTGGGGAAGTTGTTTTGGTTTTTGCAGTTGTTTTGCAGCAGACTTTTTTCCTAAAGTTATTGAGCAGGCCTTAGTTTTTATCAGACTAAATCTAATTTATTTACAACCCAAGTCAGAAAAATATTTGCATAGCAGTAATATATCTGTAGTTTAATAATCTAGTCTGAGACAGAATGTGGCAATCAGTGGCAGTGAGATGGGTAGTATGTGAGAGGAAAAATACGGGGCTCAAATTTTGCAGTTTATTTCACAAATTGTTAGTTACAAATGCAATTGATTTTCTCAGGTCTTCAAGATTTCAACCTTTGCAAAATAATTACATAAAATTTACTTTAAAATAATATTTTCAAATAATTGAAAAATATTTAGGTTCACCTTGGAGTTAGCATGAACAAGATGTACCTAGCTGTTTGTAGCTTACAGAGAACAATAATAAAGAAAACTGACATTAAAGTGACAAACCAAAAGCTTCAATGACAGTAAACAGAACAAAAGCAAAAGCAGAAGTTGTGTTCTCAGCTGAACTTCAGTGTCAGCTGCTCTTCTGAGTTTCAGATTGTTTGGATGTATGAATGGATTTGGTTTTAATTGAGCAACAGGACTTTGGGGCAGGATACCTGACAAAAAATGCAAGTCCTTCCCAAATGGCTACATATATAAGAAATGCAGTCATTTCAGAAAATAAATTTGTAGCTGGTGCTGAAAACTGTATGGCTGAGATGATAGCTAATTGGCAAGATTGCTGTACAAGATTGCCATAACAATGGAAGTGAAAAATGTGTGAAAGTGAACCAAACTCTGCACTGCTATAGTAGAAAACAAGTCTTGCAGGAAAGATGCTACTTT